GAAATACCGAAACCTGATTGGTCATTTCAATAGTTGCTGGGGTGGCCTCTAAAGTCACTCCATTTCACTTGATATGCAGCGATTATTTCTGACACACACATATAAATGGATGATTAAGGGTCAGGAAAGCTCTTGAACTGAGTGAGTTAGCCATATCAATCGTACTGTCTGATAATTCACATTCTCCACTTTTATAGAAAAATGTTGGCTACCTTCAACCACTCTTATCCACAGATATTGATTATTATTCAAGTGTAGTAACACTGCATTTTGACTAGGTTCCATCTTTAAATGCTTTCATAATATTCTTCGACAGGATCGATATATATTTCCTAAAGGGAGTGTGTTGGCAGCGTAACTACGTATCTCATCGTGTTTGGGACTTGTCAGCTGGATGTGGTTGTCATCCCGGGAACAAAATCATTCATTGGGTGGTAGCTACATCTTGCTGACGAGTCCTCAACAAGACAAAATGTACATCCTTGATTCCACTGCAAACTACTATATATCATGTATAAGTAATGGTGGGTAGTGGCTAGCAGTGGGATCCAGGATGCGCATTTCGTCCTATTTGGAACTCGTCAGTTGGATTTACTCACCTCCTAGTGAGTGATGTTATTCCCACAGCATCAAAGCATCTAGATATAAGCCTGTATATGAGGGTTAATCAGTTCAGTCCAATGAATGACGGGAAGTTACAAGCAATAGCTTAGATACTAAACAAAATCATTTAATTAGCATCTGATTGCTGATGAATTCATTGAATTTACTGTTCTCATTTTCTAAGCAGTTTGTATAAATCTTTTATCATTTGGGACTATGACTCCTTTTGATATCACACTCGATTTAGTGTTCATAAATCAATGACCTTAGTGTATCTACCTATGAAGTTGATAAATGAACTCCACTGCTAAATTCTGATCATTAAACATTCCCACTAAGTAAGTTTTAATATAGAGAATCGAAACAAGATTTTTCTGAGCGTTTCGCTTCAACAGAATATTTGAATTTTTATTAAACATCGAAATATATTGATAATGAGTGATGATTGGAGGAGAAATGAAAATTTGGACCGCGGTGGGATTCGGATCAGAGACCATTGAGTTTCTGGCCCGGTACTCTACTAACTAAGTTACGAGGTCCAAGTGCTAACTAGATTTTTATTTCACTTCAATCAATGAGGGTTTTGCCCGACTACCATGTGAATTCGTGACACATGATTTCCGGTTCGAATCCGACCACCATCCAAATTTTCATTTCATCTTTAATCCATCACCCAGTATCAATATTAGCCTGCTGAAACCATGACTATCTCAGATAGCCAAAATGATAATTGAAATTTATTCTGTCAAATAGTAATATGTAGCAATAAAACTGTGTTTACTCCATTGGTGGTTAGCTGATTTGTTGCTCCTACTGATTATTTCTAACTAGTCATCATGAATTCATGCATTCCTAGTCATTTGTCATCAACAAATAATTCATTTGACGAGTTGGAAATTGAACCACTGGAAATCGACCCAGTGGCTGAATGGTTAACGTGTTCTCCGTGAAACCTGAAGGTCCTGAGTTCGGTCCCTAGCCGGGTCATGGGTGCATACTGCTGAGGAGTCCCATACTAGGACGAAACAGGTGTCCAGTGCTCCCAGATTTTCAATGGTTCCCCAACTGATGTCAGTCCATTATGAATACTACTTCTAAACAAAAGAGTGCTTGTGTATGTGTATATATGTTATAAGAAATGCTGTGTATCGTTCGTTGTTTATTGTATAAAAATATGCAATACATGTTTATTTATGAACCATAAGCAATTGGCATTGAAATGGTGACGTTCAGACCACTATCTAGTACAAGGAACCTTCCAAATCAAGTTAAAAGCCTTCAAGGAAGCTGGTAATTGACCGCAGTTCAAGTACAACACTCGGAAACAAGGATGAAACTACAAAGGAAATCTTCACGACAGCCATCAAGACAAAATGGGAGATATCCAGCAACATCCTTGAAGAAACCTGTGTGGAAGAACACTGGAAGTCTTTGGAAAGGAACCTGCACAACCGCACTAGGAAAGAAGAACAAAGGAGACAATGAATGGATCTCGATGGACACATGGAAGCTGACAGAGGAGGGAGAGGAGGATGGTGGGCAGAAGATAAGCCAGTGCAAGGATGCTCAACGACAAGAGGAACTGAGCACAATGTATAAACCACTACACTGGACAAAGAAGTGGAGAAGAGTGCACGCAAAGACAAAAGACACTTCCACAACACACTGGCAAGTGAAGCATAACAGGCTGCAGTAGGAGGGACAGAGTCTGACAACATTGTATCAAATAACCAGGTTGCTATCAGGGAAGAGATCAACACAGCATAGACGAAACCAATAAAAGATGATGAAGGAAATTTAATTACGAAAGAAGAGAAACAAAGGAAACAATGGGCCAACCACTTCAAAAGCTCTTGAATCGACCACCGCCACCACCTGCACTTCGTCCAGAAATACCACCTACAGTCCAGCCACTGAACTACAAGTGAACATAAATCCTCCAACAAAAGTGAAAGTCCTGAGCGCCATAAAGCTATTGAAATGCAGGAAAGCAGCAGGACTAGATAGAATCCTGCCAGAAGCACTGAAAACAGACGCAGAGACAACAGCGACATGCTCACACCACTATTGCAGAAGGTGTGGAAGGAGGAGAAGGTAGCTGGCCATTGATTGGAAGAAGGGCTACCTTGTCAAACTCCGAAGAAGGGAGACCTAAGTGTTTTTGCAAGAACTGGCGAAGAATCATGCTGCTGTCCACCCACAGCAAGCAAAACATTAAGCCGCATCATCTTGGAGAGGCTTAAAGATGCACTGGATTCAAAACTACGACCGGAACAGGCAGGCTTCAGGAAGAACAAATCATGTGAGGACCAAATTGCAACGCCTTACTACGCATCATCATAGAACAGAGTATAGAATGGCAGTCAACTCAACTCAACCTCGACTTTATCGACTTTGAGAAGGCCTTTGACAGCGTCGACCGAGAGGTAATTTGGAAACTGCTTCATTACTACGGAGTACCGCAAACCTTTATCCGCTTCATTCAACAACTATATGAAGACGCCACGTGCTAGCCAAGTAATTCACAATGGGAAGCTCAGTGATGATTTTGATGTGAAGACAGGAGTGAAACAAGGTTGCCTACTATCCCCCATGATATTCCTGATTGTGGTCGTGGAGCCAGGTTCAAAAGATTTCAGAGAACAGAGCGCATTGGAGAGGTGCTACTGAAGCCCTTTGTTCCATTGGAACCCAAGGGACAAATAATAATAATAATAAATTCAATCTTTTTTTATGGGACATTGATAACCCTCCTGGCGTGTATACACACCCCAGTGTACTGTTGTTGTCATCTTTGGGCAGATGGTATAACGAAACGCGGTAGCTTTAGTGTTCTTCAAACACAAACACTTGTTGATATTCTATTTTCTTTGAAACAGTTGTCTCGAGTGGTGTGTGTGTGTGTGTATGATTATCATGCTGCCGGCTGGCCGGGAATTATTTTTAAATTCCCACTTTGTTACAAATCTTATGCAAATTATAGAACTACCCTTATACATATGTATATATATATATATATATATATATATATATATATATATATATATATATATATATAGGTAATCCTAGCGCGTTTAATGCAATCCAAACAAGACTTTGTCTGGAACGTATCGTTGCCTAACTCGGCCGCAATAATAATCACACACTCCTCCCTTATTCCGATGGTCATTCGATGCCGGCCGGCAGCGTTAGAACAATCACATCTTATAATAACAATCCTGAAAAGGCTGTGTGTGATAGGAATCAGGTAGATACGCCATAGGCACTACACGCTTGTGTTTCCTCAGCAATGTCAGTTACTTCACAGTTAGCTAATGAGACCAAGCATCTAAGATAGCTTGCATTTGCATACATATTCCTTTAGGAGAGATTTCTATGGCACTTGAAGGTATTGCCAATCAGACATTTGTATTGGTGATGTCATCTTATTGATAGACTCGTAAGTTGTTCTGATCCTCATGATTGGTTCCTTGCACGAGGTCAAAGTCTCAATACTATGACACACTATGTTAGCCTGTTGTTTATAACTAAGCTTTCTGTCGTGTTATACACCTGTGAGATATTGCCATCAAAGTATAAGATATGAAGCGGTTACAGGCTTTTGACTACAGGTATCTTCGTAGCGCTGGATTGCTCACATAGAGTGGGATTACCATGCAAACAATCATGAGCTTAAGCCAGGGTACTAAGCAAGGAGGGCAGTTTGATCTATGAAGTTTTGAACTTTCATCGACGTATGCTGCGCATGCTGAGCCACTGCCTACCTTAACGTGCAATGTTAACAGAAGTTGGATTAGGCTGCAAGATGGGCAAACTAAGAGATGGTGCCATTGGATCAAATCCCTGATTATTGATTTGATTCGTGGAGGGAGGTGTAGACTAACTACCTGTCTGGCGACCCCTAAAACGATGGGAATCAGTGACTGAGGACTCTTGGTGCACTCACTCTGTAACATCTTTTAATGCTTATCTTCAGATTATTTATTCACTCACACAACTCTATCTACTTTGATATAACTTTTTTTCTATCCACTTGTTCTTTGTATACTACTGTGAAGTGTGTCAAGTTGAACTGATCCAGGTTCTACATTGAGTTTGTCTGTCTGTCTGCCTGTCTATGTCTGTGTGACTAGGTGGTCTCACTCTGATAACTTAGTAAGACGAGAACAGATACATCGATTCATTGTTTTCCTCGATTGATCAACTGATTTCTGTTTTGAATACAATACCGTTAAAAATGCACATTTTTTTCTTCTTTTTGAATCTATCTCTAACGTCTTGTTGTTGTTGTTTCTTCTACTATTCATTATTTATCTCTTTAGCTGTTGCTAATTATCATCTTTTTTTCAACAGTAACAACAAAAGACAATTTATCTTCTTCTTCTTCTTCTTTTCAGGATAATAATTTAGTTCGACATTTAGATGCTTGTGAAACTATGGGTAATGCAACAGCCATATGCTCTGATAAGACTGGTACATTGACAACAAATCGTATGACAGCGGTTCAATGTTTCATTGGCAATAAACATTGTAAGCGGATACCAACAGCCTCAGAACTACCCGAAGGTGTTATCAATACAATTGTTATGAATATCTCAGTGAACAGTGGGTATACATCGAAAATATTAGTAAGTTCATTCTAGGCGTAAATTGTTTTTGTTTGCTTGAGGTTAAATGAAAGGCTTAAAGGAGAAGAAATGATGAGAAAAATATTAGACTTAAAGTTGTTTAGATAAACCAATAAAATGTGTATAGAAGGCTACTTTATGCCATCAGCTGCTGAAGTGGAAATTTTTTGCATTCATTTCGCTGTGTGGTCAGGAAAAATCTTATTGGTCAATTTAATCTTGCAGTTGACCAATCGGAGTGACCTATATGTATTTATACATCCATAAATACTGTTGTATATAAGTCATGTATTTCTGTCGAATAAAGTGTCCTCCTCTTCTGTTATCTTTTTGGCTGAGTGAAGTACAGTGGTACTGAGGGAGAATAGTTGATACCCGTACCCAGTTCGAGTGTCTCACCGCGTTAGGAATCGTTTGCTATTTCTAACCTTGCATTCGGTCACTTCAATAACTACCACAGAAAAGTGCTGAAAACACCCTACTATCTAGGCAATGACTAGTTTTTTCTTCAATATTTAAATTGGTGAAGAATTGATTAAGTTCAAATCGATATCAATCAAAGAACCGTTTTAAACTAACTAGCACTAGACAGCTACTTTCTTCTCGCTTAGGACTTCTCGGCTGCGTATTAGCAGCGTCTTGTGAGATTCAACCCAAGTGAGCGTAAGGTTTCTAGCTTGTCTTTAAGGAAGGCTCAGTGGCAACATCTATGACTTAAACATTGGATGTCACGGGTTTCAATCCTTCAGGGGTTTCAGATATGCTTTCCTAGCGTCTGGCAACGAACACAAAATATACGTCAAACGGAACTGGCTTCCTACCGATAAGCTCCCTACCCAGCTATCTAACATCATCAATCGTAGCGTTGTTGCGTTTTTTTGTTTCTTCAGAGGTGTGTCTTTTGGGGGACAAACTGACTGTGCAGAATTGCATTTGCATTAAGATGAACCCTTGAAAGAATAAGAGAAGAAAATTCCGTTAGAAAGACTTCTTTTTTGAAGCTGAAGTCTCTTCTATGCTCCTTTGTTGTTACTTGTTCTTCCTTATGGAGATAAAGAATAAAGTAGTTGTTGCAGACGCAAAATTTTAGCTAGAATAATGTATTCTTGGTGATATATATATATATATATATATATATATATATATATATATATATATATATATATGAGTGGATCCTTGAACAATACACATTTAGATTCCACTCAGCGATGGTTGCTCAGTTACTTGGTAAATTGGGAAGATAAATATTTAACAGAAGGTATATTGGAATGTCAATATATGTATGCAAAATACAACGGTGTATATATATGCATTCACAGTGGCCTTGAATATTTCTAGGCTTTCCTGAAAAGGTGTATCCTATTGATTTTGTCGAGTGACTTTAAAAGGATCGATAAAATTCGGTCACCACTTAGGGGGAAGACTAGTTATCATAAAATTGGTTGCTCTTCATTGATGAATCAAAATATTGATTCATGTCATTTTTGAGGTGGTTAACCGAAGGTGAATATGAGCAACATAAGATGATGAGTAGTGGCCAAGTCAGTTGATCAGACTGTAAACCTTCAGCGACTGAGGTGGCTTGAACGTGTTATGCGCCAATAGACCCACCACTTACTTCAATGTCCAATGTTAGCCTAATTTGTATTGGTTTTAAAAAGGGCTCACGGTGGCAAGACTAAGGTATGGCATCAATTCATGATTTCTCTGACTGTGTAGGTTCCAGCCGTGTAGGAAAGTATTGACTACCTGGTCCTGGAGTCACTGGGGTAAAAGGAATCAACGGTCGATGACTCTCGGTGATATGCCTGAAAATTGGTGACATTAGCGCAGATGTATTCACTATTTATTATTATTATTATTATTAGTCCCTTGGGTTCCTAGTGGAACATAGGGCTTCAGTAGCACGCCTCCAGTACACTCTGTTCTCTGAGATCTTTTGAACCTGGTCCCACGACAGCCCACAACCTCTCATTTCCTCCTCGCACGACCTCCATGTCACCCTTGGACGTCCAACTCGTCGCTTCCCATGGGGATTCCACTCGAGGGCCTGACGCGTGATGTCCTCAGTCGGCCTTCTCAGTGCATGGCCAATCCATCTCCACTTCTTCCTGCATATCTGTTGGGTGATAGGTTCTTGGTTGGTTCGTTCCCAGAGTTCCTTGTTGCTTATTCTTTCTGGCCATCTGATCTTCAGTAGCGAGTGTAAGCAATTGTTGATGAATGTCTGTAGTTTATTGGAAATGCCTTTCGTGACGCGCCAAGTCTCTGAACATACAGGAACACTGACTTGACGTTGGTGTTTAAAATCCGTATCTTGTTCCGCATGGTGAGTGCAGATCTCCACACTGGTTTCAGGCTAATGAACACCTGTCTTGCTTTTCCGATTCTGACTTTGACATCCTCGTCTGTGCCGCCTGTAGTTGAAACGGCGCTTCCTAGATAAGTGAAGGAGGTTACTTCCTTTAAGTTTCTCCCGTTGATGGTGATTGGAGTTGTTGTTGTTGTTGATGGTGGTGGTGCGGTATCTTCATCACTTCTGTCTTCTCTATATTCACTTGAAGTTCCGTCTTCACTGCCTCTTCTATCAACTTGTTAGTTTTTGCCTGCAGATCTTCAAGTTTATGTGACATCAGGCACAAGTCATCGGCGAAATCCAAGTCTTCTAGGTTCTTTTCCGTCGTCCAGTGTATCCCCCTCTTCTCGCTGCCTACTGTTTGCTGCATGATCCAGTCCACCACAATCAGGAATATCATGGGAATAATAGGCAACCTTCTAAAGGTGGAACATTTCCACTAACCTTTATCTACCACTATATTCCATTTCAATATGGCCTGATTAACCTCCAGGCATTTTGATGTTGCTGATGTAATATAGTAGTTCAGATTGAGTTTTCGCCTTCTTCACAATGAAACCAGTTGATATGTATGCTTAATTAGCTCAAAGGCGAATACTCATTCTGCGTATTATTTTCTTTATACACAGGTCAAATAACATCCCCTACTACTAATACTACTATTCGCCTTTTTCTTCTCCTCTCCCCCTGTTAGCCTCCAGATAATCCAGGTGGTTTACCAAAACAAGTTGGCAATAAAACAGAATGTGCTCTATTAGGCTTTGTCAAATCGATCGGACGTAGTTATGAAGAAATTCGTGCACAATGGACTGAAGAACGCTTATACAAAGTGTACACATTCAATTCCTTACGGAAATCAATGAGTACAGTTATCAAAGAATCAGATAATCCAATGTCTTTTATACTCTTTAATAAAGGTGCATCAGAAATGGTTGTTAAATGGTAAGCAGGATTGATTTCTTATTAAATATATACATTATTTGTAAGTTAGTATTCATCATGGACTGACATCAATTGAAGAGAGCCATTGAGTACCCGAAGAGTCCCATACTAGGACGAACAGCTATCCAGTGTTCCCAAGCTTTAAAGGCTTCTTTAACTAATGTCAGTTCATGTTGGATACCACAATGTAATGTAGTTTAAAATTCTAATGAGAAGCCGTGACGTGTGGGAGTGAAGCGGATACCAGCTGAAGACCTTGGATACAGTTGCGCCATATCGCGAATTGACAGAAATAGGGAAACGTGGACTATTAAACCCCGATCTGATTAACGCGTTCGTTTGTGAGACCTGGAGGTTCCGAGTTCGATTCCTGGAGGTGCAGTGTCATGTGTGTGTACTGTTGAGGGGTCTGATACTAGGACGAAATATCTGTCCAGTGCCCCTAAGTTTTCAATGGTTCTTCGTGATGTTTACTACCTTAAACATAAGAAGAAGAAAATGATGTTAACCAAGGTTTCATTCAAAGCCATCGAGTTGGCTCATTCTAATTTGGGACCTTTTACTTTCCTATTAGTATGTGGAAATACTAATCAATTACTTTTTGACTGCTAAGCTTCAACAGTAACCTCTTTGTTGACAGGTATTCAAGTTCTGGGTTTGAATGGAACCAAGTATTATCGATTGCGGAGTCTGTTGAGTAGTAGTTAGTCTTGATTAAACATCAACTCCTGGTTGAAAAATATCTTCAGGATGACCATTCCCACTGACCGTCATAAAAGTGGAAGAAATTCATCAGCTTGAATGTGTATTGTTTGCTTACATTTAATCAGGATTGTAATAGTCCTGTAGGATATTTGATACTGGTCGAACTTGGGCTCACAATTGGAGATTATTTATTACTCAGTAAAACAAGAGTCACCGTCATGTACTGACATCATTTGGAGAACCATTGTGAGCCTGGGGACATTGGGAAGTTGTTTCGTCCTGATATGGCACTCCTCAGCAGCGCTCATGCATAATCCTACCACCGATCGAACCCTAGGCTCTCAGGTTTGTCAGGCAGCACGTTACCATTGAGCCACATTTTCCTACTTCTTTCAGTCTCTGATATAGCGCAACCTCCATCCGATGGTGTCGTTGAATAACCATCTTCATGTCCCATTTGACTTGCCTCATATGGTCTTCGAGAAATCTCATCTCAATGCAATTCACCTACCCTATGAACACTTGACAGTAATTTTAGTTTGGAGGTTTATGGGGATTTATTTATTGATTTCAAGTTGGTATTCATCACAGACTGAAATGATTTGGCGGAAACCACGTCAATCCGTGATTGAATATCAGCTAGAAATCAATAGGATTCCTACACATAGAAAAAAAAGTGTCATTAATACAGTCCAACAAAATGTCTATCTTGCATCATCGTTTGATTGCAGTCATCTAGATAAACGGAATTACTTGTTGAATTAGTTCATCATCTTTGATGATGTTGTTAATGTGATTGTCTTGTCCACTAAAGTAAAGACGACTGAGAGAGAGAGAGGTGTTTTCTTTGCCTGTCTGTTTTTCTCTGTGTCCATTTGTCTCTATGATTGAAAACGATTTCAACAAAAACTGGGGAATTATCTTTTATATAATGAATACTTGTCAATGAGAGTCGTGCAGCTAAACCATTCAGGTTATCCCTAGTAGGGACCTCTGGTGCATTCAAGAAGTGAAACGCTAAATTGGCACTGATATGTTCTACAAGTGTTTTTCCATGGTGTTGTCGAATCGAAATGCACTCAGCGACCTTGTGCACATTCATGCAGTAGGCGATAAGCGAAACATCTATTGTGAAAGACCTTATGATGCTACCTGGCTGTTCAAACCTCGGTAGGTGAAGGAACGGTGTTCGAACCCGCTACCCAGTGGTGGAAAGTTAACTGTCTACACCAATCAGCTACAGCTCCACATATGAACTTTTCTTGTCAACTTGATCGAACTTAGTATAAGACAAGATGAGGTGAGTGAATAGTCTTACTGTTTCCCTATAAGATAATATGAGGTGATACCGCTTGACTGATAGACTTTTCCATTATTCAACATAATACGTAAAACAGCTAGCCTTAGATGACAGATGAGAACGTATGCTACCTACAGTTATGTTGTTATGCACACAAGTTGGTTACACCGGTGAGTTGCCAATGTATAAGTAATGACTGCCAAAAAGTATGAAGTCCATGTCCATCCAAGGTTTCCTGCTGATTTACTCCTAACATTTAGTCTGATGATTACAACTGAAGGGAAATGTTAGTGGTGGGGGTTGACGGGATTCGATCCTAGTCACGCATGTATGAGTGTTTACTTATGAGTAGTGCTAATATTTTGCCTTAAATTTGTTTCAGGTATCCAACAGGCTTTAAGAAATTGCAGGAAGCTCTATGAAACCCAGTATTTATTTTGGCGAGACGTTCTTCCAAGCCACAAGTGGCTTTACTCACCATTTTCTTGGCATCTTGCAAGTGTACTGAATGCTGGTCTGCGCGTTTTTGAAGGGTCGGTAGCCAGTCTTGAATTTAGCTGGGATTGTTACTTAGATGCAACTAATTCGCTTGCATCGACCTGTTTAGAACGACGATTTTGATGACTACCAAAACGCAACATGAACTTAGGACACACTAAAGCATGATCAGAGTCCAAAAAAGTGCTCTATGTGGAGCGGCAATCCTGTGTGCACCTACGTCGTCGGTAGCTGATTGCAATATGATCCGTTTGAGTCTACGCTTGAATGGCAGAGGGAGGACGCCAAGTAGCACAATGGCGATGGCTGTATTGCAAGTTGGTACTGGCTATAAACAGGTTGTGATCTGCTGCAAAAGATGATCTCGATTGTGCGACCTGTGACCAACTAGCCCCATTGATCATTTAAACGACTCTCCTCTGAGACTAAATACCCGACCTGGGCATATTACTAATGAGCACTAAACAGTAATACAGTAATGCAAGGTAGTATTCATCAAGGCTGACATCATTTGGGGGGAAGCTATTTAGCACCTTAGAGCACTGGATATCTTTTTCATCCTAGTATGGGACTCCTTAATCCCGCCGGGGAGTCGAACTCAGAACCTTCAGGTCTTGCGGTGAAAGCATCAACTATTCAGCAACTGAGTCCATAGTTCCCTACTTCTATAAATTCGCGAATCTGAATGACAAACTTTGCCATCCTTATCGCATCATAGTACACAGTCTTCTGACTAATATATATATATATATATATATATATATATATATATATATATATATATATATATATAAATTGTAATTCCAACATTTCTGAATTAGTGATATCTCATAAAGGCTATGAGATGCATCGATGATAAGTGTTGAAGATCATCGCGCGAGTTTTTGAATGGAATGGGGGTTGGTGAGATTAAGACAAGAACATCCGTTTGTTGCCACTCATGAAGTCAGAAGTGAAAAAAGTGTACTAACCAGCTAAATTAGAAGGTAGTTGTGCTCCCGAGATGAAGTTACTGACGGTGAAAAATGCCTCATGGGTTCACTTAACGATGAAATGGGAAGAGAATATTACGGAAGGATGACAAACTAAGGATGAAGTACTTTTCCAACATCGTCCCCACATCTACCTTGTTTTTTAACTGTTTTTCAGCTAATATCAATTCATAAGTGATAGGAATATAACCATTTACTTATTCATTCTTTCCCTTCCCCCCCCCCCAACCCCCTACTATAAACAAAATAATTATTGGAAAAACAACCCCTCCGTGCATATAGCTGTTCATGGATGATGGATGAACAAGGTCGGCCAAGACCATTCACTGTGCAAGATCAAGAGCGTTTAACCGAGTCAGTTATTGAGCCGATGGCTGGTGAAGGTCTTCGAACAATCGGAGTTGCATATAAGAAAATTACAGTTGGTAAGTGTATGTTCGTGTCCGTGTGTATATATGTGCTATTGTTTTCGTGCTGTGGTCCAGATTTCCACTTCATCCTCAATCAGCCATCACCCAATATCAATAATATAAATATGCCTAACCACCACCACCACTACTGATAATCAATATCATACTCCCCCTCTTTAATTCAGTTAGACTTGAATTGGGATGAGAAGTTCTAACTAGGCAGCCAGTGTGAATACAATCAAACGATAGTACCGCGTCACAAATTCGCACAGCAGTCGGACGAAATCCTTGGTGACTGGTTGAAGTGAAATAAAAAGTCTGGTTGGCCAGCAGTCGAGTGTTGTAGCACTGGGTCAATAACCCACAAGTAGCCCGTTCGAATCCTACCGTGAACCAACTTTTCATTTCACCCTCAAGCAATCATCATCCATCAGATTCCACACAGCGATGATCGCTCAGTCCTTCGGTAAATACAAAAAGGCTTTAAGATAACGGAAAGTGGTATATTGTCGTATAAAAATATGTACAAAATGCAACGGTTTATATAGACATACTTTCGATGCCCTTGACTATTTCGAGGCTTTTCTGGAATAGCATATCCTATTGATTTTCACATCTTCAACCAATCTGTTATTTGAACATAGGTTAATATGCTTTTTCCTCTCGAAGTGAGACGATTAGTTGTAAAAGGCTTCAGGGATTTAGAACTTCTTATGCACAAATCTACGCAATCTGTTACTAATAGAGTTTACAACTATGATGGAAGGTTGTATAAACATTCCATCATATTTTGTTTCCTTTGTTAATCAATATTGAGGATTTGTAAACTAACCGTTTTTAGAAAAAATTAGTTTATTCATTCTACTCCAACTAACTATTGGTTTAATGAAATTGGTGATAGCAAAGAAGATTTGTAATTCAGCATAAGGATCGATGGTAATTGTTCAATTGTTATTCGATCTTTGAGGTTTTTACTCGAATGTTTCATCATCAAACTAGATTTTATCAGCATTTTCTTTATATAAAAGTGAAGCATTCAATGTACATACAAATGATCTGTCATATGATAACACCTAGGCTAATTAATGATGGATAGTGACTTTCAGTGGAATCTAGGACGCGCGTTTCGTCCTGTTTATGACTCATGCGTTAGCTGGTTGTACCTGTCTCCCCCTAAGGTTGGAACCCGAGACCTATCACTCCAACCCCCCCCCAGGTATGGATTTTATGTTATTACTCACACAAGAAGTGGCTGTCGTGGCTCGGTAGTCTAGTGGATAACACTCTGGGGTTTGAACGATTGGTTCCGGGATCGATCCTCAGTGGGAATAACATCACTTGCTGGGAGGCTCGTACATCCAGCTGCTGAATGAGTCCGAAATAAGACGAAACGCGCGTACTGCATTCTACTGCTAGTCATTATGTATCATTAATTCAAAATTGAAACAGGCAATATCGAGACATCCGCTGAGGTGAGCATATGCCCAATCAACGACAATAGTACAAGTAACAACGTATCCTAGGCTGATTGCTTGAACTTTACTGTCAGATAAGATCCATCAGTTAATCAGCCATTACGTGTAGCGTATTCAGCTAATGGACATGACACTGTAATGCTACTTTTATATGCTTAGTGTCGTAATCACCAAACCTAACTCACCATATCTTCCGTCATAGATGAATGTGCCTTTCAACCTGATAGGTTCATTGGATCCGACTTACTGCGCATAGGAGCAACGAATACACATTGCAGCTATGTCGTTCTGATTATCTGAGAGGCTATTTATTTTCCGTCAGATACTTTTAATTACATAGCGCACTGTCTTTTTCTATCCACTTGTTCGTTGTTTGCTGTTACTATGAAGTGTGGCAACTTGAACTGATGCACTTACGTTCTAGGTTCTATGTTGATCTTGTCTGTCTGTGCATAGTTTTTGTTTGTAGTCAGTTTTGTGTATACTTGAACGGTAGTGATCAATACACTTCAATTGTATCCTCTCCATATTATGAATATTCAGCGACAAATTCAAAGGGTCCAAATGATTCAATAGTACAAAGTGAACCGAATTGGGATGATGAAGACCATATGTTAGAAGGTCTTACTTTGTTAGGCATAATTGGTATTGAAGATCCAGTTAGACCGGAAGTGCCAGCTGCTATACGTCAATGCCAGAAGGCTGGTATCACTGTACGCATGGTAACTGGTGATAATGTGAATACAGCTCGTTCAATAGCTATGAAATGCGGAATACTTCAACCTGGTGAAAATTTTCTCGTCTTAGAAGGCAAAGAATTTAATCGACGTATTCGAGATAAGGTAACTGGAAAGGTTAGACAAGATTTATTCGATCAAGTATGGATTAATTTAAGAGTACTGGCTAGATCTTCACCTCAAGTGAGTCTTTTTTTCCTCCACATTGATCAAGTTATGTGTTAAATATCCATCCCTTTTAATTTTTGTAATACTTTTATAGATGAAAATCTCTAACGATGTAACAATTGATAACGGAAGATATGGACACATTAGATTCAGTGTTAGGTTATTGCGCAATGATTATCACTGTAACTATCTGAGATGGCTTTAACTAGGCGGACAGCTTGGCATCATTGATATGAGGTGATGACTGAAGGTAAAATGAAAATAACCATCCCAGCAGGCTAATGACTTTTTACGTGTGTATTGCTGAGGAGTCTCATACTAGGACGAAACAACTGCTGCCCAGTGCTCTCAGGTTCTCAATGGTTATCCAATTGATGTCAGTCCATGATGAATACTGCCTTGAAACAAGTGAAATCCCCACAGACCTCATACTAGATTATTGGATAGTATTTATTAGTGATATACTTCGAGAGACGATTCATGAAGTTCTGATAAGAAGCCGCAGCCTTTGAATTCAACCAAGTCCAAAGTTAAGCGGTTACCAACTGAAAGTCTTGGTGAGTAGTAGGGCTATATTGCAAATTGAAACTGTGTACCGTTGAACTGCGACCCAGTAGCTGAATGGTTAACACGTTCGTCGTGAGACCTAGGTTGCTGGGTTCGATCCCTAGCGGAGTCATAGATATGTACTTCTGAGGAGTCCCATACGAGGGTGAAGCAGCTGCGCGTTGCTTCCAAGGTTTCCAATGGTTTTCCTCCGACGGATGATAGTTCATGAGGGATACTATTTCGCGAAGAAATAAAATCTCCATAAACTTCAAGCAGATACTGGTGTCAATCATATACAACTGTCCTTTAAGTGATCAAATCGGAAGGATGTTTCACGGAGTTTATAAACACAGTAGGTTACGAATGTGTCAAGTTTATTACACCCAGTGAGGCTACATAATGCTACTGAAATGAATTGATTTAATCAACACTGAACACTATAGTCTATCGATATACTATTGTTGACATTAGTTATTGCACGTTAAGCGACTAGATAGGTGCTTTCATATTAGATTTGTTTATTCCTTATAGTTAGCCACACAGTCAGTGACACAGTATTATTTCAAGTTGTTATTCATCGTAGACTGACATCAGTTGGAGGAACAAAGGAAACCTGGAAGCACTGGACAGCTGCTGTCTCGTCCTAGTATGGGACTCCTCAGCAGTGCGCACCCACGACCCCGCCAGGGATAGAACTCGCGACCTTCAGGCTCCGTGGCCAGCACGTTACTATTGAGCCACTGGGTCGGCGGAATCCAATGGTCCATATTTCCAACTTCTGTTGGCTCACGATATAGCGTAACCGTATTATTTATTTACTGGATGACATTTCCAGTATAAACTATTACTACTCGTAATCATATCAGTGTAGTCACAGTTTCTTTTTATCGTCCTGTCACCTCATATTTTTGAGTAACTTCTAAGATCACCCTACCACCTCCTGAATTAACCAATTGGACTTTTGTATTTTATGAAAATATACCTTTCCAGCTGCAGCAGAGAAACCTAATTGGCTATTTTGGTTGTTACTAGAGTGACCTTTACAGTCACTTGTCTTCTTTGTTTTTATTGGTAATAAAGTTTTCCATTTCTCTGATGTAGGTGTTGCATCATTTCTATCCCACATGTGTTGGGTGTTGGTTGATTCGGTAAATAAAGCTTCAGTAATCAATCTCTCTCTCCGCCTAATTACAGTGGACTTAAGTACAGTGGCTTTATCCCACCCATCCTCTTGTGTGGTTGTGTTAATGCATCCACTACAATAGCTGGACGGAGATTTTTTCTAGATTACTTGAACAGATAAGAATTAAAGCAATAACAAGAGGGCTGGAATTTGGGTGGCATTCAAAGCTACAAACTCACTGAGAGGTAGACTTTGTCGGTTAGCTTCAGGATTCGACAGAACCAATTGAGCAAAATAATCTAATCTATCAAATCCCATGTAATGACTATGAGGTCAAGTACATAGGTCAAACTAGCTGACCGGGTCAATTAGAATAGCGGAACATAGAAATTTAGCCAAATGTAGAATGGAAGACCCCAATAGGATCAATTATCTCGAAAAAAAACTCAGTTACTGCCATCTACACATTGACGCACAACCATAAAATAGTTTGGGATAAAACTACTGTACTTACGTAAAATATAATTAGGTGGAGAGAGATTGGTTACTGAATCTTTGTTCATCATTTTGACCATCTGAGTTAGCCGTGGTTTGGCAACGCAGAGACCCGGTGGTCGGTAGTTTGAATCCCACCACAGTCCAAATTTTCACCTTCAACCAACCATCACCCAGTATCAATACTAGTCTGCCAAACCAAGGCTATCTCAAATAGTCAAAATAATAATCAATATGATATTGGGATGAGAAGTCCTGACTAGGCAACCAGTGTGAGTACGATCAAACGATAGTAAAGCGTCATGAATTCGCATGGTAGTCGTTCAAAACTCTTGGTGACTGGTTGCAGTGAAAGAAAAATCTGGTCAGCCAATAGTCATGTCTCTTAGCTCAGTTGGTAGAGCATCCGTCAGGTAACCCGGTAGGCTCTGGACCGAATCCCGCCGCGGTCCAAGTTTTCGCTTCACCTTCAGTCATCATGCAGAATCTTTGTTCATCCGATCAATATCCAACACATGTAATAGGAATGACGCAACACCTATACCAGAGATATATGGAAGGTTTACTAACACTAAAAACATGGACTGTGAGGTGAATGATAGGACTATAGAAATCAAATATCCAAAGTAGTGAAATTACATTGATATGATTATGAGTAGTAATAATTTATACTGGAAGTGTCATCCAGTAAATAAATAATACTGAGTCACTGTGTGCTGTCTATGTGGAATAAACAAATCTGGTTATGGAGTTACCTTCTACCACAGTGGACAAGCTTCACATATTAAAAGGGACTTAGGTTCTTACCGCTGGTTTTATTAACGAGGTAGGTAAATCTTTAGTGAGGTCCAGTCATATCTACATAGTTCTAAGTGGTAAATTAAACGAGACACACCTAAAACCCATCTGTCAATTATTATTATTATTATTGAGATGAATGGGGATTTTAATTTTGAGGTAGTATTCATCATGGACTGACATCAGTTGTAGAACGATTGAAAACTTGGGAGCACTGGACAGCCGTTTCGTCCTTGTATGGGACTCCTCAACAATACACAACCATGACCTGGTTAGAGATCAAACCCAGGACTATCAGCTTCCACTGTGAACGCGTCAACCATTCAACCACTGGGTCAGGGTTCAGTAGTTTACAGTTTCCAACCTATGTCAGTTCATGATATTGCGCGACTATTACCTGAGGTCTTCAGTTGGCATCCGCTTCCCTTCCGACTGGTTGACCCCATACTTGATGAATACTACCTCTAAATTAAAGTTCATATACATCTCAAAAATACTTTACTGTATAGTGCTGGTTAGTCGTATGCTTCCAAGTGGGAATCATTACGTTCTAATGAGAAGCCGTGACCTGTGAGGTCGACCGATCGGAAAAGAAGTGGATGCCAACTGAAGACCTTAGGTGATAGTCGCGCTATATCGTGAATTGACAGAAGTTGGAAATTGCGAACCACTGAAAATCGACCCAGCGTCTGAATGGTTAACGCGTTCGCCGTGAAACCTGAAAGTCCTGAATTCGATCCGTGACTGGAGTCTTGTGTGCATACTACTGAAAAGTCCCGTACTAGGACGAAACATTTGGCCATCGCTTCCATGTTTTCGGTTGTTCCCCAACTGATAGTTGTTATTGCATGAGACGAACCAGTATAAACGGTTATACAAACAAATATTGACCACTGATTGTTTATTGGGATAAAACCTTATCTCTTCGATTTCCTTTCAACTGTCAAGTATTTTTATTCTACTAGAAGAAGGGTAGGTGCATCTAAGAATATCTGAAGAGTCCTGAGTGCTAACTGAATCTTCTTGATCATGTTTAGCAATCTGCTAATCGATAAACTGCAATACTCTTTGTTGATGGCAACCAGCCAGTCAACATTAATATCCCAAAGCGATTGACAATACTGTGGTTTATAACAAAAATAAACAGGTCATACACACACACTCTTTCATGACTTCTTTCTGCTGAAAAATGTTAGTAATTCAATTGAAACTCTGTTGGCTTTACAGACTCATATTTCGTACAAAACGTGATATTTAAACGTTAAATTCTATACAACACTTATACGGGTGTACGAATCTGACTGTAAAAGATGTATACAAGTGTTGAGAAGGAACATTAAGTTGATCAGTTTGCAAACAATGCACAAATTGCATGGTCCACGTTGACACACAGATGAGTAGTTTTTCAAGATGTGATCTTTGACACAAAAGTGTCATAAGCTAGCGAAGGATACTACTGCTGAACAACTTGATTAGTTAGGAGCCAGTTAGTCAGGCTGATCTGTAGATTTCACCAGCCAACCAGTCAAATTAGAGTGATTTGTTTGCTTGTTTTGGGCCAAGCCAGCTCATCGACGGTGTAGTCATACAAATTTAGCTAATAGAGCTGATCTGATTGACAAAATCTACAGATCAGCATGGATAGTTTCTATTCCCCAGAACCATCAATCGGAGTACTTTTCAGTAACTATTAATGACTTCAAAATGGATCGTTCGAAGTGCTGATAAGAAGTTATCACGTATGGCGCCAGTTGAATCAGAAATGAAGTGTATACCCACTGGATGACATTGGATAGTGGTCACGCTATATCACAAATTAACAAATACACGAAGTGATGGACCGTTGTATTTCAACCCAACGCTCTTGCTGTGAGATCTTGATTCTCATGGGTGCCGACTCCTGGGAGGACACACTGCCGAAAATTTCCATACTAGGACGAAGTGGCTATACAGTGTTTCCAGGTTTCCAATAATTCTCTCATTATGATGTCAGTAGTCCGTGGTAGATACCACCCTGAATTTAATCTATACTTCCTCATAAATCACCAACGGAGTCTTTACACATTATAGTTTGTGTTGTTAAGGCAATTGAGAAGCATGTTTGATTTGGATGGATCTCTTTTTGTATATATACCACTAAAAGGTTATATTCGCTTTACGTATGTGTGGGTATGTGTGTGTGAAATCGGGAGGAAGAGTTTGTAGACACTTGTCGAAACAAAGTTTTGTAGTAAACTGAATTGCGTTGAATAGTCCTCTTTTCTGTGATTGCTCGCTCGCTCGCTCACTGGCTCCCTTCCTCTCTCCCTCTCTCATTCACTGAAACATCATGGGAAAGCCTGATAAGACATGGCTTATTTCTACTGTCGTTTACATTACTGCTGTGTTTGCTTTTTTTATGTCTACCGTGTATTCCACCTACTCAACCAACAAACCTATCAAGAAAAAAGTAAGTTGAAATGTTTACTGAGTTGATTGAAATTACAACAACACTAACAAAAGCAAGACACACACATGCTGGTACTTCATATGCTAATTATATGGTTGAAATAAGAATGATTCGGCATGTGATTTGTGTAAACCCCTTTAACTGATACGGACTGACATCAGTTGAAGAAGAACCATTGAGAACCTGGAAGCATTGAACTGCTACCTGTCTCATCCTAGCTTGACATTCCTTACCAATGTGCATCTACAATTGCATGAAGTATCGATCCCGGGACTATGAAGTGTCGCAACGAGAACTCGCTAATGAGAATAGCTTTGAGATGGACTTTTGGAGTTCTAATTCGAAGCTATTAACGAAGGGGTTCAACTAAGTCTGGTGTGAGTTCAAACACTCACCGATAGTCTTAGTGGATCATAAATTGACATAAAATGGAAAACCTGAGCCATTACATCCCATCCAGTGGCTCAATAGTAACGTTACTGTCCGTGAAACTTGACAATCTTGGACTCGATCCCTGACAAGGTCATGCGTGTACTCTACTGAGGAGTTCCATACTAGGACGAAGCTGCTGTCTAATACTCCCAGTTCAATATCAACAAATCCCTACAAACTATCAGTTGATTTACATATCTCCCCTGTTTGCTATCATACAATTTTTAAGTTCTGTTTCTCGTTATTCTGTCCTCACTCACTCTTTCGTTCTCTTTCTCTCCCTCCCTGGATTTGGATATTGGCAAACTTTTTTCTTGGTTATTATCACGGTTACACTTGATTGATAAACGTGAAAAGTCATGCAAATCAGTATTAGAACTTCGTATTGCTTTCATCCATTATGTTGAGGCAATAGAAATAAGTCTATTTGCCTTTCTCTGCTAACAGTAGTGTTCAACAAATTCAAGCAAAAGTGTTTATTAACATCTAGTTAAGTCTGTGTGATCTAGTACTCAGAGCTTACTCACCCGTAGCTGTGTGCACTCTAAGATTATGCATAAACAGCCACTGTTGTCAATTTTCAGGATGGAGAAACATTGAAAACGTCGAAGCACTGGACAGCTGTTTCATCCTAGTATGAGGCTCTTCAGCAGTGTGCTCCAGGGATCAAACCTAGGAGCTTCAAGTTCCGTGGCCAACACGTTACCCTTGAGCCACTAGGCTGGAACCAGTGATCTAATTCCGTCAGTTCACGACATAGCGCAACCTCCATCTAATGTTGTCGTTGAGTAACTCCCCTCATGTTCGACTTTGCTGATTCTACCGGTCATGTCTTTTCATTAGAACTTTGGTAGTCACCTCTCGAAGCTAATCCCTGGCAAAGTTATGAGTGCCCACTGCTGAAGATTCCCATACTGGGACGAAAAAGCTGTTCAGTGCTCCCAAGTTTCCACTATTCCACCAACTGATTTCCTTCAATGATGCACACCAATCTGAAATCAATAAATAAATCCCCCATAAACTTCAAAATTGAATTTTCAAGATATTAGGCAACTACTACTTGTACTTCTACTGCTAGTAGTAGTAGTAGTAGTATGTTGGATATTTACATAAGTTTTGTTTGGTATAATAGTTAAAACGGTTAATGTACCATCTGTTCTGAAAGTTGGAAGAAATTTTCCAGCACTACTAACAAAGAAAATGAATATCACTATATAACTATCATCATAGCTGCATTATTTTCTTAGAAGTTGAAATAGAATGAACTTTTTAATGTGTTGATATACACAACTGGATTTCACGACACACAGATAAGTGGATGGGTAGATAAAGAGATAGATAGATAGCAATGTAAACATATATATATATATATTCGTACTTCATTCATTCTCTAAAATTGATAATGATAATGATGATGGTGTGAGAACTGATGACAACTATAAACAGATTAATAATAGGACTAATTTTAAGACAATATTTACTATATTCGATTATCTTGCACAGATTTTATCCGTTCAGACTGTATTTACTACTAATGAGTAGTTTAATTTTGTGTGTCTATTTTATCCGGTTTCATACGACCAGCAAGTCATTTGTTGAACAGCACACAGGTGTAGAAAACATGTTTTAACTTGGGACAGTGTCTGTAAAAATGATGCTTTGTAATGTATTTTGAAGGAATATTGATTGGTTTACAGATTTTTTGTTCGGATGGTAAATATATTGTAAGCTTTGTTGAGGAACGTGGAAAGTGGTGTACATTGCATTGCTCGCCTGCCTGATACTATTATTTCAGGTGAGCTTCAAATGGGGTCGAGTGATGTTTTTTCATATCATTAGATGCAGATTGCCTGTTTCATAGAGTTTGATGTTTCCCTCTAGACTTTGGATAGAATGCCAGGACGTGTGTGAAGCTGATTGCGAATAATTTCCTTTGATATATAAGATTAGTGATGTAATCGATGATAAAAAGGGTTAGCAATGTCTATGATATTTTGTACAACCTCTAAGCGATGACGTCTAGTCCGACAGTGTTAACATCTTCCAGTTGGTACCTTCATCACAGACAACCTTTCAACTAGACTTCTTTTAAAAATAAAATGTTTTGCACTATAATAATTAATGTCTCCGCGAAAGGGATTCATGAAGTGTAGAATTCAGGGTGGTGTTTAAAACTGATTACATAAGCAGGATAGATACTCATTATCAGATTTACAATAAAGATTGTTGGAAGTCAATCAAAGGGACTCACGAACCCAAAAAATGCAGGATAAAATGATCAAGGTTTACTGCCTAAGCCAAGCTGTAAATAGGTACCACCAAGGTAATAATAATGAATACCTCTAACTGTGGTGCTTCCATGGGGCAAATCGTCGAAATAAGCCAACAAGATTTAGTTGTGCAATCTGCAAGTAATGCACGAGTGACTTCAAAAGTCACCATAGCAACTGTTAAAATAATCAATCATGTTTCGGTATTCCCTCTGGGATGGTAAAATAAAGAAACGTAATTGTTTATTTCATCAATTGTTGTTAGAGTTGTTTTTAAAAGTTGATTATAATATGCACTCGAAATGGATGGCTTCTCCACCAACAAACAGGCTAAACAAATGATCGAAATCAGTCTGTATACAAAGTGGAGCTCTGGCTCACTGGTTTAGGAAGATGAATTTCAACCAATGCGTCACAGGTTCGAGTCCCACTCCGCTTACCGAGGTTTGGGCAGACATGTTCTATCAATAGCCCTTACACAATAGGTGTGGTTCATTGCTTATTGCACAAATGTGCACAAGGTCGCTGAGCGCACTTAGATTCGATCCCGTATACAAAATCAATCAAACTGATATAAAGACAGCCAATCAGAATGAAGGATAGACAGGCATAAGTGAAGAAAACTCATCAAATAGAGAGGAAGTGTCAGTCGAACGGAAGTGAGTGAGTGGATAAATGGTAACATTGGTTGGTTGGCTGACTGGTGTGAAATGATGTTTACAAATCAATTTTAAAATTTTATCCTGGTAATGGTGTATGCAAGCCTGTATCTGTACTAATCAATGTACCGCAACTTCATTGACCTCAGCACCGGCTACCTTTGAATGTCTAGAAGAAAACTCCATGGGTTCTGTGTCAACGTCTGAATGGATTTTTATAACTGAGTTACTTAATGCAACCATGAAATTATAAATAGACTACTTTGTTATATGAAGAAATGGTGGCTTCAGTTGAGAGAGAAACATCGTCATAACAGGACTCGAACCATTAACCTCTGATCCAGTTATTGATCTATCCTCTTTATATTCAAAATTAGAACATGTTACATTCAAATACTGAGCATTAATTTAATCGATAACTTTTAACACTACACAACCATTTCTCAATTGGTGTATTCTGAGTTCTTTGCTGAAGATTGATTTAGGGTAGTAACGAAGATTTCTAGCTCAAAATGAGACATAGTAAATGTTTGGTGTTTTCCAAACTTTTTAGATTCTTCTCGAAAATTTCATCAACAGGTTAGGCGACTTCATCAGCATTTTCACATCATGAAGAAGTGAAAACATAATGAGTTACACCTTGGAGTGTCAATTATGAATATTGTCCTCCCCCTTTGTCATTTTATTCTTACCTTTTTCCGCATTTTTTTATTTTTATTTTTCAGGATAAATACACATTAGTCGGTGGGATAATTAACAGTAGAGCTGCACCATCACGTCAAGTGGTTGCTGTCACCGGTGATGGTACAAATGATGGTCCAGCGTTGAAACGTGCTGATGTCGGTTTCGCTATGGGTATAGCCGGGACAGATGTTGCCAAAGAAGCCTCAGATATTATCTTGACAGATGATAATTTCTCAAGTATTGTTAAAGCTGTTATGTGGGGTCGTAATGTGTACGATTCAATCACGAAATTTTTACAATTCCAGTTAACCGTTAATTGTGTAGCTATAATTGTTGCATTTGCTGGAGCATGCTTTCTAGATGTGAGTTCAATATACATGTATACATATAAATGCTATTATACTACTACTCATCAATCTTAAGTACTACTTAGTTGTAATTGTTTTATTTTGTAAATGATGATATAGGTCATCATCAGTTAATATATACCATCGCCTACACAAGAGGAGCAACAGATAGGTACTGGGAACACCATCACTCATTGGAATGTTGTAGGCACAACCAGCTGACGAGTCCCGTAATAGAATGAAACCCACCTCCTAGATTCGAATGCTAACATTAAAATGAAATTTAGAACACAATATTTAGGGATCCGTTTAAAGAGGGAGCTAACAGTGAGTGATCAGTTCCTTCAAATATAGTAATATTCAATGGGAACTGTACGCATCCATGACTAACAGTATTGGTGTTTATCATGAAGTTAATTCATCAAATTCCCTTCAAAGCACTTTAATCCACTTGTGTGTGTGTGTGTGTGTGTGTGTGGTGTGTGTGTGTGTGTGTGTGTGTGTGTTAATCAGACATACTTGACAAATGTGATGAGTTTTGTATTTCCTGTCGCATCTTTCCGTGAGAAAAAAAACTCGTTCTTCACTCCCATCAGGAGATTTAACTAGTTAAATTTGAAGTAAACTGCTACAGTAATTGGACAAAGATAGACGATCAAATAGTAGTTGTCGAATTAATCTTAATTTACATAATTTTTTAACGAGACATCCGGAACCAACTGGTTGGAATAAAAACTGGTCACTATGTGAAATTGAAGTCAGCACGACCAGTCGTCTATTAGGTAGAGTTAATCAATTACTTCTACTTGTAAAAGATTCTTTGAAGGCCTCGAATACCCAAAAGAAGAAGAAGGAAATAACGATATGACATTCCTAACTGTTCTTGTTACATAGCATAATGGAAGCTTACATACATATTTAACAGCTACTAGAGCAGAAATAAAGCCATATTTACAAAGTGCTCAGAACTCATCACTGTCCCATCAACTTCATCAAGAGATACTCACTAACATGATGCACATCAGTACAATCACGCCATTTCAGTTGACTTGTTAGATTTAACACACAGTGAACTAACAGTGTTGTTTACTGGATTACGTTCTGCACACTCTTTATTGTCCATAGTCATATCAAGATAACTACACAAGTTTAAGATACCCCATACATAGGCCTAATTTCCTCGTCCCCTTTCTCATGATTGGATAGTAAGATTTTCCATATATATGAGGAACAGATGCTCAGTCATTCCTGTTGCTGCATGTATGAGGTGTTGTTTGGTTCGATAAACAAAGATTCAGTGGTTATCAATTCTCCCTCCTCCACCCTGTTATGTAGTTTTAAGGATTTTCAGCTGTCCTATCATGTTATGTGGTTCTGTATAGTCGCATGATAGCTATGGCTGGGCTTCTTTCTAAATTTCCTACCTTATTAGAATCCACCGATTTTCACTAGTTAGGTTTCTTTGCTCGATAGCCATTGACAAACCCTGATCTATCACTTTAACCTATGTATGTGAACTCGCAACCGTTCCAAGGGATTGGTAAACTAAATTATTCTGCTTAATTGGATCGATAGGATCTTTTAACCTACAAAGCTTATTTCGAAGGGATTTTGTGCGTTTAAATGTCACTGGTTCCAGTCAGCCTTATCAAGAATCCTAAATAGTGTTCTGAGGTACTCCTTGGTATGCTAATATTGTGGAGATTTGAATTCTCTTCACAGTGTTGCCAATTATTAAACATTATTATCCCCACTATTATTACTGTTATTGTTGGTAGTATTACCACTATAGTAAATGTGTTACCAATATTTACGATTTGAAGAACTCATTAGTTTGAGAGGATAATTGTTGATGAGTAAAGGTGTCTTTAATGTATCTGGTTTCTTGTCTTAGATCTTCTGTTTTACTAGTAAGATTTTTAGCGAGTTACTTAGACGTTTCACTAAGCCAACCTTAACTAACATAGGGTGAGACAATATGAAGTCTAAATAACTACTTGAAATGAAGGTTTTCTGTGGACACTAGTGCTAAACTTCCATCTTGTTCCGTTTTATTCGGCAATCCAACATCGCTAATTCCCCTTCACTATTAGTACGTGAATTGGATTGCGTTGACTACTGAATTGATAAGTATGAAGAAACTATCTATGTACTCCAATTTCACCATTTTAAACATATTGACTACATATCGAAACAATATTTTTACGGCCTGACTAATTTTTTCTACATCTATCCGTTCCCAACTATCCATAAATATATCAGCCACGAGGGGATATTGTTGATTCCATGGTGATTCCTTGTTATTTGTATATTTTATTCTGAGACCTAAGTACTATGGAAGTTAAGCATAAATGTACTTCTAGCACCATATCATCTACTGTTACCTAGTTAGTAGTGTAAACTCATGGTGGGATGGGACAGGTGAAAATCTTTAAAACTAACATAACAGGGTGGAGGGAGGGAGAGATTGATAACCACTGAATCTTTGTTTATCGAACCAAACAACACCTCATACATGCAGCAACAGGAATGACTGAGCATCTGTTCCTCATATATATGGAAAATCTTACTATCCAATCATGAGAAAGGGACGAGGAAATTAGGCCTATGTATGGGGTATCTTAAACTTGTGTAGTTATCTTGATATGACTATGGACAATAAAGAGTGTGCAGAACGTAATCCAGTAAACAACACTGTTAGTTCACTGTGTGTTAAATCTAACAAGTCAATTGAAATGGAATAAGATTCTACCACAGTGCACATGTTTTACTCTTATATCAACTCGTTTACACTTGCAATATAAGGTTCCTATTGCAGTAGAATTCAGTTATATCCTTGAAAGTACTGTAGAATCGATCGTTTCCAATGATGGTCAAGGAAATTTAGTACTCTTGTTGTACACCATTAAGTCTATTTACAGCCCCAAACTAGGATAACTCATTATCTTGCCAAATTCAAATGTACCAAACTGAATCAACAAAACGGTAGTTACGTTACTGTGTTCAGATTTCGACCAACCACTAGCTGAGGAAATGGCTGAACTGCAAACACTATCTTATCCGTAGCACACCAGTTAAGTAACTAAGATTAAGTGTTCAACGTTGTTTTCTTCTTCAATGATGATATGGAAACGTCGATGAGTAGATGTACCTATGTTTAAAGGAGTTGACTTTCAACTAGGAGGTCATTGGCTCAAACCCCGCTCACCTATTTACCAAGGTTTTTGCAGCCATGTAGGAATACTAGTAGCAATCATTAGCTTTCATATAACTGGTATGTGACTCATTGCTTTCTGCACAAATATCCACAAGGTTTTTGAGTGTATTTCGATTTCTTCTGTATATAACGCTTACTTGATAACCATTATTGTATTCATCTATTCATTAAAATGCCAACATTGTGTATCTTTTCGTTTTTTGACTACTTTTTTCCACTCTATTCAAATTATTATTCTTTTTTATTTATTTATAGGATAGTCCATTGAAAGCTATACAAATGTTATGGGTTAATTTAATTATGGATACACTGGCCAGTTTAGCATTGGCTACAGAACAACCGTCATTAGAGTTGTTAGATCGTGCACCATATGGACGTACTCAACCGTTGATTAGTAGACAAATGGCTAAAAATATCCTTGGTCATTCTTTATATCAGTTGGCGGTTATCTTTTTCTTATTATTTTATGGTAAGTGATTTAATTCCTCTCCTTCATGATGATTCGTTATTCGCTTATTTTTGATATATTTTATTGTAGTGGTGGTGGTTGATAACGAAATCGTTCTTCTGTCGGATTCTCGTCTAGTAATATTCTTGTAATGTATATTGAAGAGTATGGACATATTTGTGATATTAAGACTGACTTGTTGACTTCCGATAGAAACCTTGTTGCTTTCACAATTTTTGGGTAATTGAAAAATCTATCACTTGTTAGTATAATATCGTCGTGGTCAACAATAACAACGAAACCAATTTATGATAGGAATACTTCATTTAACTGATTTACAGAGTGTTAATTGGTTGGAGGCAATCGATAGGAAGCTAACCAGCTCTATTTGACCTAAGGTTTATGTTTGTCATCAGCCAAAGTCGAGCAAATTATCATGCTGATTGTCTCCAGCCAACTAACACTTTTCAATGTACACTGCTCATGGTGAACCAGTGACTAACATACACGTTGGTGGGGTAGGTAATGAGCCATAAGCCTGTTGCAGCTGACTGACTGATCAAGCTTCGGTAGGTCAAGGCGGGTTTCTAACCTGGTTGGAAGTCAAATGGTTAAACTAATGAGCCACAGCTACCAAGATTATGCAGACAATTGGGTTGTATGCAGAATCACTTTTAGAAGCCATATTGTATGTGTCTACCATACGTCAAGAGTGTCTTGTTCATCAAATCCATCCAGTAGATATCACGTGAGTACTATAAACATATGAATATCACTCACTGTAAATGTTATCATGCTTTTTTTTATAGACCCTTCTGATTTCCCTTTGATTATTATACGTACTGAATCATCCGTTGAAGCAGTCCATATACCAAGAGTAACCGATCAATAATCAACGAGTATCTTTCTATGCTCACTTCTCACGTATTATATAAGAATTGATGAATAAACTTCTGATAATTTCAGTTATCAAGGCTGTCACTTATAGTCTGAATAGCCTTGGAGTCATTTCTCTGAATGTATAATAAGATGATGGTACAGGCTTTCAACTGAAAAGAATTTTACATTCTCTGCAAATCACAGATAACTAACTGTCACTGATAAATTCCATAAACGCATTGATAGAATCTCTATCATTGGGTTGGGATCAACAGCATCAAGAAACAAGGTAATCCTATCGATTACTAGCTACATTATGAAAGGGCTTGATTCATTCATTCTTATGTCTGATCAGTTTCAATCATTATCTTGTTATTAAAAGTTACACCATTGACAATACCTGAAACACCATAATATAGATCAAAAATATTTTGTTAGTAGTAAGTTTATTTACAGATTTCAATTTTCACATAGATTTTTGTAACGTATAATAAAACGTACCATCAAAATTCAGTATACTGTTTTTATTGACAAGGTTTATGATACTTGTGTGCTAACTCATTTGTTGTAATCTATCACGTTAACTAGATTCTAATTGTGTTGTTTTTTCCTCCTCTCCTCTCTATACTCTATATCTTTCTCTAACACACATTCTAGCTGATTTAATCATGGAAGTGGATAATGTTGCTCATATTACTGTCCATGAACCAACACAACACTATACTTTGATATTCAATACCTTAGTGTTAATGACACTCTTCAATGAATTCAATGCTAGAAAGATACATGGACAACGTAATGTCTTTAGTGGTTTACACAGAAATCCATTATTTATTATTATATGGTTTGTTACCTTCTTGTTACAAGCCTTGATTATTCAATTCGGTTCATATGCATTCAGTACAAAATCACTTGAATTAGATCAATGGGCATGGTGTTTATTCTTTGGTGTTGGTGAACTTGTTTGGGGTCAGGTGAGTGCATAGATAATATGAAGGAATTTTGTATCAAACTAGTATATGTTCTTATGGAGAGATTGTTTTTTTTCTTTTAATGACAAATTGTAACAAACTGTTCAATTTAGATGCTCATCTGTTGTAGCAGATATTATTATTATTAGTCCCTTGGGTTCCTAATGGAACATAAGGGCTTCAGTAGCACGTCTCTGACGCGCTCTGTCTCTGAAATCTTTTGAACCTGGCTCCACGACAGCCCAGAAGCTCTCACTTCTTCCTCGCACGATCATCTCCATGTCACCCTCGGACGTCCAACTCGTCGCTTCCCATGGGGATTCCACTCGAGCAACTGGCCTGACGCGTGATGTCCTCAGTCGGCCTTCTCAGTGCATGGCCAATCCATCTCCACTTCCTCCTGCATATTTGTTGCGTGATAGGTTCTTGGTTGGTTGGTTCCCACAGTTTCTTGTTGCTTATTCTTTCTGGCCATCTGATCTTCAGTATCGAGCCAGCGTAAGCAGTTGTTGATGAATGTCTGTAGTTTATTGGAAACGCCTTTCGTAACGCGCCAAGTCTCTGAACCACACAGAAGCACTGACTTGATATTGGTGTTGAAAATCCGTATCTTGTTCCGCATGGTGAGTGCAGAAGATCTCCACACTGGTTTAAGGCTGATGAACGCCTGTCTTGCTGCCTTTCCGATCCTGGCTGGTTTTGACATCCTCGTCTGTGCTGCCTGTAGTTGAAACAGTGCTTCCTAGATAGGTGAAGGAGGTTACTTCCGTTGCAGCAGATAGTCACTGTTAAAGTTAGAGCGAAGATCTTGCTCGTTCTATCCTCTTATACGACTGTGAGACATGGATGCTAAAAGTAGAAGATATGAAGCGGTTATTGAGTTTTGAGCACAGATGTCTGTGTAGTGTTGCTTACGTGTGTTAGAATCACCGTGTGAGCAATATATAAGTCAAGTGAAGGGTACTAAAAAGCCAGGCAAGTCTATTAATGAGGTAGTGAATCTTAGTCGGCTGACATGGTTTGGGTATATACTGTACATACCTAGCTACCCAGCATCTTTCCAATTACAGGCAGCACAGATAAAGATGTCAAAGCCAGGATCAGAAAAGTAAGACAGACCTTCATTAACCGGAATCAGTGCGGAGATCTCCTGCATTCCACTCCACTCAGCATTAAGAACAAGTCAGTGCTTCTATGTTACGGTTGAGAGACTTGGCGCATTACGAAAAGCATTTCCAACAACTACAGACATACATCAACAGCTGCCGCCTACGCTCACTCGATACTGAAGATGAGGTGGCCAGAATAGTAAGAATAAGCAGCAAGGAACTCTGGCTGGCTGGCAACGAACCAACCAAGAACCTGTCGCCCAATAAATATGCAGAAGAAATTGAAGATGGATTGGGCATACACTGAGACCATTTGGGGACAACACGCGCCAGGCCAGACCCTTGAGTGGAATCCAATTTGGAAACGACGAGTTGGGCGTGGGAGGCGAGAGTGAGATGGTGTGAGGAAGAAATGAAAGGTTATGGGTAGTCGTGGAGCCAGGTTGAGCCAGACTGCAGAGAAGAGAGGGAAATGGCGACGTGCTTCTGAAGCCCTATGTTTCACTAGAGAAACCCAAGGGACAAATAATAATAATACCGAGCCACTGCCTATTTCAACGTGCCATGCTAAGTGAAGTTGGATTAGGTTGGAAGAGGGTTCAGAGTGACCAAAACAAAACGTGGTATCGGTGTATCAAATCTCTGACTATTGATTTGAGTTATGTAGGAGGGTGTAGACTAGCCACCTGTCTGGGGTCCCCGAGACGAAAAGAATCAGTGATTGAAGACTCATAGTGACGTGGCTGAAAATCGATGAGAATAGCGCAGACGTACCCACTCCTTGACATCTTAAGCTTGAATATTCGCACTAACCGTTATCCTCAAATTGTTTATTCTCTCACACAAATTTATCTACTTCGATATCTCTCTTTTCTATCCACCTGTTCTTTGTATACTACTTACTGTGAAGTGTTGTAACTTTTTCCGATGCACCTGTATACAATGTTCTACGTTGATTTTGTCAGTCACTCACATAAGAATTATCAATTTAACTATCTGAGATGAAACCGTGGTTTGGCGGAGTTGTATTATTGATACTTGCGGATGATCGATGGCAGAAAATCTGATCTGCAGCAGGATTGGAACAAGCCACCTCTGGGTAGTTCACTCAGTGCTCTACCTACCAACTGAGCTACAAGACCCAACTGCTGGCTCGTCAGATCTTAATTTCATTTCAATCATCAGTAAAGTCTACCAAACCAGATAACTGGGTCGGTAACCTTGGTGGTCTCTGGTTCAATTCTTGCTTCAGCTTAAATTTTCATTTCACCTCCAATCAATTATCACCCAGTATCAATACAAGAAATTGTTTGATACTAATATAGCCCGATTTGTTCACCTAATTCATTCCAGTATAGTAACCGCAGTGGTAGTGAGTTGAATCTATGTAGTCTCTGATAAAGATCCTCAATATAAAGTGAGGAAACCATCGATTCCTGATCACTTAGTGTTTACTGGTTTTGCCAAAAAATTATTTTTTGACTATAGATATAAGTTATAAAGTTACAGGATGAAGGTTGTTGTCGTGTCAACGTGTTTCAATGTACTCGTGTTAAGATCAACTATCCACTTGACTGGTAGTCGAAACGGATTACTTTAGCTCACAACTTTGTACAATTGACTCATTAAGATGGAGCAATGACTATCCACGGTCTAAATTGAATGAATTACAAGCCTTACTGACTGTGTATATTTCCAGGATTATCTTCAGGCTTAATAGCCAGAACAACCGGGCAATAATGAGTCACGTCAGTAACTGATACACCAAAAATTTATGACCAAAGTTAGTAAATTTTGTACTCCATCCAAGATCGTTAGGCTTTCATTGTCTATCTAGACAACAACATCTTTAGGTAGTATTCATCTTGGAACGTTATCAGTTGGAGAACCGTTGCAAACCGTAGAGAACTGGGCAGTTTTTTCCCCTGGTATAGGACCCCAAGTGGTTCGGACTCACGACCTGGCTAGGAGTCGAACTCAGTACCTTCAGGTTTCATCACCATCATTATCAGCAACAAAGACTTCAGTATGATGAAGCGAGTAGTAGTGGTATAAAGTAGCGCATCTCGATAACGTGGGGTGATGTGTGACTGATATTATCCTTTCAGTTGGCTATAATCAATTTCGTATTGATTACTTCTCTGCCTGACCTCTGACCTTGAAGTTGTGTATCATTTCTCTTATTGACTGATAGATTGGATCTATTTCTATGCCACCTGTTGATTACTTCTACCAAATTTCTACGAATTCTATGACATTCTTTATATTTCCTTTAATTTTGTACGGATGAACAACTACCAAGTCAGAGGTTAGACACAGAAACGGTTAAAATGAAAATCTGTCCAGTCGATAACGCAACACAATCAGCAGAACTACCATTTACACACGATCATCTCAATAAGACAGGCTACTGATAGACTCATGCAGAGAAATCCTGGTATAATCCACCTCATCTTGAAGTTAGCATTGATAATGTCTAGAAAGAGAATGAAAGCTTCAAGATTAAACAGTCCACCTGAGAGAATTCAAAACAATACAATTCAAACTGTTGTGGTGTATACATCTCATTATTAGAATGAATCCTAATGAATCGATCAATAGATTCCATCTGGTTTCCTTACATTTTCTTCTTTACTGATCAATAACATTTTAGGAAGTACGTAGACGAGTTGATTCATCTATGTCGTATTTTAGGAACTGTGCCAATCATCTGTTCAGATGATTGTATACAGTTTTACTAACTCTTTTTTCCCACTAGAAGGGGATGGTTATCAAAGTTTTCTCAAATTCACTCAGATACTACATGTGAATAATGTTACCAAAGGATACTTGAACTACTTTTTAAAGTCCTGTCTCTCTCTCTGTCCATTGTTTGACATTGATCGATTTATAAGTTTTAGGGTATACACCCGTGATCTCATTTAATATCTTAATAACGAAGATCATGAAGGTGTGTTTCATATACTCTAATATAACATTTAACTCTATATATCACCTTAATTTTTATTTTGTCTCAATCTCACTTATAGATTGTCAATACTGTACCGAATGCAATTATACCAAAGTGTTCATGTCGTAAACGTAAACGTGCTGGTGTTGTTGGCGCTAATGAGAATGCAGCTGATGAGTACATTAAAGATGAAGTTGGTGAAGCTGATGAAGAAGAGGATGAAATATCCCCATTATCATTGAGTGGTGATAATATGCCACTTGGAGGTCGTATCCTATGGATTCGTGGTGTTAATCGTATTCAAACACAGGTATATTTATTCAGTATTTTAATTAAATCCCTTTTTGTATGCGCTACGTAGATAATTTAACCTAACCTAATCTGGTAACCAGCATATTGGATATGTCGATTATCATTGTGGACTAATATCTGTTGGGAAACCATTGAAAACCTAGTAGCATTGGACAACTGTGGGTACCCATAACCTCGCCAGGAAGGGGTCGAGCCCTGGACAATAACTGACTCAAGTAGGAAAATGCGAACCGTTGGTTTCATACCCATTGGATCAATGATGACGTGCTCTCTGGGGAACCTGAAGGTCTTTGGTTCGATTCCTAGCGTAGAGTCTTTGTACGCAGTGTTGAGGAACCCCATAGAATGAAACAACAATCTAATGATCCCAGGTTTCGAATGCTTCTCCAACTGATGTCAATCCGTAATGAATACCAACTTGAAGTCAATAAATAATTCCCCCCCCCACAAACCTCCAAATTGGACCTCATTTCTGTTAATTAATAATCCCAATGATAATGGAATCATAGAATTCTATCGATCATTTTGTACAGCATGACCACCGAGCTAGGGAGGCTGGCTCACCATGGCAGTGAACTTTGATGAGTGTTACTTGTTTTCAGACAGGAAGGTCTGCTTGACCTAGATTTCATGCTTGTTGGCACTTGTCAGCAAGGAACTGTTGAGATTCGAACCCCCATCATCCAGTGATGTGGTTGGCAACGTGTTACCACTGTTAGTTAGTTAAGTGGTTTACATCAATGAAATTGAACATTGGAAATAATTTTTGTTTTGTCTAACAAGGTTGTAAAGGCGTTGTTGAAACACTTGATCTGTTCACCAAAGAAGGCACCTAGCCTGATAAGGTAGTTACTTATCTACATTTTATATCAGACAAGTGATAAGATTTCCTGTTTAATTACTACAAATCTGTGTGTTTGTGAACTATTGGTGTTGGTTGTCACTGAGATTGGCGCCGAACAGCCAAAGCGCAGATATGACATCAATTACCAGAGTATTATTGTCTTAGTCCCAGTAATCAACCAGTGGAGGTGTGGTTCATTGGTTCTAGCAGATAACTTTCAACCAAGTAGGTCACTGATCCGAACCACCCCGCCCCTCCACCTACCGAGGTTTGAGCAACCAGGTGGTATCACTAGCCTTCACATAGTAGGTGTATGGCTCATTGCCTACTGCACAAATGTGCACCATGCTGTTGAGTGCGTTTCATTTCAAGTAATCAACTAATTCAATTTGGAGGCGTTTGGGGATTTATTTATTGATTTCAGGCTGGTGTGTATTATGGGCTGACATCAGTTGGGGAACCACTGAACATCTGGGGGCGTCGGATAACTGTTTCGTCCTAGTATGAGACTCCTCAGCAGTGCGCACCCGTGACCTCGCCAGGGGACTAGCTTCGAGAGGGGATTCCTGAACTTTCAACAAGAAGTTGTGACTAGTAGGATCAACCAAATCGAACACAAGAACATTTACTTACCGATGACATTCTATGCAGATCGCGCTATATCATTAAATTCTGAACCAGCAGCTCAATGGTAAAGTGTTGGCGGCAGAACCAGAGGGCTTGGGTCTGATCCCTGGCAGGGGGTCTCATACTAGGATGAGACAACTGTCCAGCTCTCCAAAAATTTCAATGTTTCTCCAACTAATATCAGTCCATGATGAAAACCAACTTGAAATCAACTAATTGTTAACATTTTACAAGCTGTTTATATATATGCATACCTGTAAACATGATGAATTCTATGCAGTGGATTTTCATTCTTATTGAACTTATTGTTGTTCGACGAATGTAATCACCAGCGTTACCTATGTTCTCTGTTAAAAAGTCTTTGAGGAGTTCAAACGGTGACTATTATGCACGCTTTCATACTCTAGTAGTTATGATTGCAGCAGAAGTGGCATTAATAGTGTAGATTTCTCATTTGCATCCCTACCTACCTGTATTTGTGTGTGCGTGTACGCATGGCACATTGATTGTTTTGATGAATATATACTTGTAATATTGTACTGTTTTTATGCCTACCTGTAGTTATAACAATGATGATGATGATGATGATGATGACGAAATATCAGTTATACAACGATAACACTGCACATTCGTTAGATTTGAAATCAATCTTTCTCCCTATATGTCTTAATTATTCTCCTATCTCTTCTATACACTGTTTTATACTTCTCCCTTTTTTGTATTGTTTTCTTTTAAGCTGGATAGTGTTATATGCAAAAAAAGGACCGGATTTAATCGGTTTCTGTTGGCATATGGGCACCTGTGCAGATGCCTCAATATTGCCTGTGTTTCAATTTTGTATTGATGGTGGGCAGTGGTTAGCAGTAGAATCCAGGATATGTGTTTGGGACTCATTCATCAGCTGGCTATACCTGCCTCCCAGTGAGTGATGTTGCTCTCACTAAGACTCGAACCTGGAACTAATCGCTTCAAACACCGGAGCATTATCTACTAGGCTGCTGAGTTACGATAGCCTCTTCTCATCCGATGGGTATAATTTTAATGTTGTTACTTGTATTATCCCGTTGTTGACTGGACCGAATTGATCAGTTTCTATTGGTATATGGGCTCCTGCATGGATACCTCGATATAATATAAACGACAGTAAATCTATACCCGTCACAGAAGTGGCTATCCTGACTCGATGGCCTATTGGATAACACTCTTACGTTCGAAGCAATTGGTCCTGAGTTCGAGTTCTGACGGGAACAATGTTGCTCACTAGGAGGCAGGTACATCCTGCTGACGAGCCTTAAACGAGACGAAATGCGCATCCTGGATTCCAGTGCTAGCTACTATCCATCGAAAATATCATTAGTTAAAATTTAAAAAGAGAATTTAATGTTATAACACTTTCTCTACACAAATATCACTTATTGAAAATGGATGATGTTGATGTCAGACTTAAAGTTTTTTGATTTCTTGATAATTTCATAGCTTTCTAATGTTGAATTTTCATCTTCAATGAAGTTTAATTGTTTTATCACCAACTACCGATTTAATACTTTATTCCATAATCTCTTCTGACTGAAAAATTGACACCCATAATAATCGATCATTATGAAAGTAAATATTAGTGCTGATTGACTGACTTATATATTATAGCTTAAGAGTAATATTCACATTGTAATCTAGGCGAGTTGACACTCTACACTGACATACTGCACTGTTTCATGGATAACTGATGAAAGTATTCGGTGAGTAGGTTCACGTAACCTCGAAGTTTGCTGTTTCCTAGTATAAATCAACAATGCATATCTTTGTAGATTCGAAGATATTTGAAAGCATATCATCTAGCATTTCGAAGAAGGAATATCATACCAGGTATATCAATCATTCAGGTATCATTTAAAGTTGAATGTATGTACGAAATGCAGGTGGTAAACTTGTCAGTACCCAATATTCAACTGATACCTATAAAGATTCTGTAAAACATTTCCAGCATCATCAAGATCAACTGTAGAACAAGACATAACTGCATAACACACCAAGTTGCCACACACCTCATACCAACATGTCAAGTAACAAGGCAATAAAATGAAGCTGAAGAAGAAAGTAGTAAAAGGAAGGAAGGAGGAATAAAAAAAGCGGTGAGATTAAGTGCAGCGGTTAAGATGAAGATAATGTGTGTGTGAATCTACGCCACTGACATCGGTTCTGAGCCATAATTTTCACCAATGATATTGTTATCTTCTAATGATAGTAGTTTTCAGGAAGAAAACCATTCAGCAGTGTATTTTTCGCCTATATGTACAGTCTCTCTGTTCAATGTATAAAAAAGGCGTCAGTTTTCAAATAAATCCCATGATTCGTCTATTTTTCAAGCTATCTCGTGTACAGACAATATATATATATATATATATATATATATATATATATATATATATGCGCATATAGCTAATATTGTGACGATGTATTGCAGCTGATAAACACGCTGTATGCGAACGTATCTGTCTGTTTACATATTCGTTTTCTGCAAAGGATGAGAAGAAGAAGAAAAATGTTCATTCATATTCAGATGGAGTTGTAGCTCATTGGTTTAGGTCGTGGGCTCGAACCCAGTTCCCATACCTACCGAGGTTTGGGCAGGGGGGCAGGTAGTAGTACTACTAGCCCTCATGCAATAGATGTGTATGTGTGTGTGTGACTTGTTGCCTAGTGAACGGATGTGCACAAGGTGGCTGAGTCCGTCTTTTCAAATATTTTCATTCATATACTAGTCACTCTTTTGCTTTGTTTCCATTGTTGTTCGTCTATTTCATTTTCACACCACCCTTTCATTGATCAATATCAATATTATTACTACTATTATCATTATTATTATCATGTGCATATATTTTTTCTAGATGCAAGCTGTAAGTGGCATTGCACGGATGTAACCAACTATACTGTGATTTCACTTGTCTTGGTGTTGTTGCTGTTGCTGTAAAATTGTTTTTGGTTGTTTTTTTTATTCGTTTGTCTTTTGTTTTGCTACTTTTTAACTTCTGACCTGCATTTGTCTCCCATCTATGCCCCAATTTATACCATTTTCTCCCGTACCTTCTAACCACTACCCCACCTACAAAGTTGTCTTTCTCTTCATTCTTTCTTCTTTGTTCGTTTGCTTGCTTATCGACCGCTTCTTCTTGCTGTTACTTTTATTGTTTCTGTAGGCATTATTGTATTACTGTTACTCCTTTCTCTGTGTTTTTTTATTTATTTCACTTCATGACAGGTTTTTATTTATTTATTTGTTCATTTAAAGTCGCTAGGGCATTGAAAGATTTATTTATATGGCGTAAAACATAATATTCATAAATAACCTTGACCATTCGTATTTATTACCTTTTTGTATTTAATTTAATATGACCTAGTGACACGATAATGACCTTCAGCCACTGACCAATGCGAAAGACGCGAGGCTATTATCTGATTGGTTAAATATTATGAGCTGTTAGTAGAGGTGCATGGGCGTTGTAACCCACAAGAGAGGATTTTAAATTACTCAGTTATTAATGAACACTTGTTGCAAAGCATTTTTCGTCATATATTCTCACCGACTGGAGAACTACTGAGAACAGAAATCATTGGATAACTGTTTTCATTCCAGCTTACGGAATACAAAAGTATATTCATGCATGGTTACATACGTGATAGAATCCGGAAACAAGATGCCTCGTCGCTCAAGTATATTTACTCCGTTTAAAATGAGCTTTGCAACCATCGTATGTTAAGATTTCATTGCGCTACGCAGGAAGCTTACATATCACCAATGGATGAACATGACCGTCAATGACTTTTATATCTGTTTGGTGATTATAATTTTTTTTTCGATTTTTCTGCTAACCCAACTTTTATCATATATTTTATGGTGTGTCACATCTATCCTTGTTTAACACTGTTGTAACCGCCTGGTGAATTGACTTATTCTTCTCGTCTAAAACTGTATCATGAAGTTAGACACTCATCATTCAATAGGGTTACAGAAAACTAACAAAGTGGCGTGACGATGTGATGCACTGGTAGGTAATGGATAGGAGACTTGGAGCTAAGTACTCTAACTTTAGGAGCACTGACTAGTGTAGGATCTACTCGCCAAGAGAACATCAGTCTCCTCAGGGCTATAGGTACGTCGTGCTGATGAAAACCAACAAATACGAAACTTAGATTGAGCAGGACATCCTGCCGATTGGCTTCTTTAAATGTAAACTGAAAGTAGAATTTGCGAGAAGAGAAAAGCCTGACGTTGAATAAATAAAGTGAAGCTCCTAGAATGATGTAAAAGTGTAATCGTTAATTAGTAGTATTCCATCAAGGGAATAATTTCTCACTGAATTGTATTACTATATAGAAGTTGAACTGCAATTTCCGGTCTAGGCACCATCTGCCACAGTTTCGGTAACTTGGTCTTATTATTAGCCCTCACAAAACAAATATGACTTACAGGTAAGTAGGATAAAGTATTATGTGGTTACAGAATCCTAAACTCTTATCGTATCCAAAATGTGGTTGGTGTAGGTAGTTTTTATGAGACTTGGTTGTTGAGGAAACCTATGCCGTTGATACCAGAAGACTATGTAGTAGTTTGGGACTTATCTTTTTCTAATCATCCTTCTTATAAGAAAGGCAGTATCAGCGTGGTATTGCCGGTCACCTAAGTGCTATCATACTCCAGTCAGCCAGCAGTACGACCTCGCCTTCGTACCCCTATCATAGTGTAGTAATTTACACTACAATGGTAACTGCTTTTCGTCTTACCACTCACTGTCTAACATACCTATCTGGTATGGCAGGTCCTTGATGGAAAAAGTGTTTCACTAGCACAGCTCATTGGATCATTGTGATATATGCAAGCTTGATCACCACAGCAAGATGGAGCAGCCTATCTGTTGAGAGAGTAGGTAGTAGAGGCATCTGCGTTCACTGGTCGCTGATTGGTCTGTGCCTAATACTAATCAATATTGTTAGGTGTTAGATGTTTCTATGCTGTATACTCCCTTTCATTTGTAACCAATTGTGTTCACTTCAAAAGATGACAGAATGATCGATAAAAACCCAAAGTGTATTGTGTTTTTTTGTTGTTTGTTCTTGATTAAAACTGTTAACCATAATCTCTTGAAGTGTAGCCAAGTTTTCTAACTGTTGATGTTGATTGTTGTAAGTGATTTGTCTTGAAAAATTCACTTTGTATACATTCACAGTTTACTTTTTGTTGCTGTATTCTCAGTATTTAACTATTCTATACATATGATTACTATGAATAATTATTTGATGCAGTCTTAATCATTTGGTTGTTTCATCCGTTTCACGTCGGTCTACTGTTGACAATCTTGTCTGAGCTAAATTCAGTATATAAGCAGCTAACTGGCTTCAATTATTACTTATAGATTGAAAAAGACGAGAGAAGGAAGAAATTAAATAAATAGATTTGTATAGTCTGCGAAGATATGACTCAGAGGCTAAGGAACACCGTTTATAGGTCAGGGTTCGAGTCCCATCCACCTACTTTTCCCTCCGTAACTGAAATGCATCGTAAATCCTTGCACAACAAACGTAGATCATAATCTAGTGTATAAGATTGTATTGAGTTGAGTTACTAGACTTCTCACTGGAAGCTAACCACCCAAGGTTACAGAAATCGCATGTATCAATGAAATAAACTGCTTTCAAGGGATAATATGATAGAATCAATATGAAAAGATGCGTATGATAATTAGCTATAATGTTGTAATAGATTTTTTTGGCACTATTCCATGAAGTCTGGTTGTTATTCTAACCGTGTTGGGAAGTGTGTAGACTGTCGCATTCTGACCTCCTCCCTCTCCTAGGATAATTGGAATCAGTGGTTAGAGATCCTTGGTGACATGACTACAAATCAGTCGTTCTCTTATACACTTTTGTTTACTTTAACATCAACCTTTTTTGATCCACTTATTATTTGCATACTGTTGTTGTGATGTATGGTAACTTGAACCGATGAACTTATGTGCATCAGGTTCCACGTTAACTTTACATGTCTGTCTGTAATCGATTGTTTATGATTACAAATTAAATGAAGAAGGAATTTGTATGACTTTTCAAGAATATTATTTTAAGTGTTCAATTGGTCATCAACTCTAACCTAGAAAGCTATAAACTCATAAGTTTATGAATTGTTTATCATAAGCAGTGAACATTGCATGTGGAATATCATGAGGGAGGGAAGCCCTCTTAGCAATCATATTCATGTTCATGCAATAGGAAATGAATCAACTCTTTTGTTTGTAGCCTAATAATACTATCTTTCTGTCTAGACTTCCATTAGGGGGAGGGTGGGACTCGAACCTGCGACCTGACTGATTTTAAAAGCAACCTTCCAAATCGATAAGATACATCTCAAGTGCTAAAGAAGAATGGAAGATTATTTAGGAAGCATATAGATTTATGCCTCTCATATTTTATCGCGTAACAAGACAAGTTTTGAAACATCCTCTTATTTGATAGGTGCAAAAGTCATGCCAAAAATACTCAAATTTCTGCTCAAAGCATTCAGAAGGTTTTGTTGGCATCTACGCTTAACAGAACAATGTTGTGTATGTATTCCAAGTCAACCAGGTGACCAGGTTGGAATAAATCAATCTCAAAGAGGTCAGAGGTATATACAATTATATCCATCATTGGTTAGGTAGGAACGGTGACAATAGACATCCTCAGGGGATTACTGATGGATACCGCTACTTGAGATCACAAGTTTTGATAATCCCCTAAGTGGCTGCATTAGTTCGAGTAGACAGCTTTGATTAACATTGCATACTTGCTTGTTTCTCCTTTCACAAAACCTGTCGGTCGAAAGCCGTTTCCATGTCAAGAAATACCTCAATTGCGGGGTAAGTATGCCTTTGTTGACAGCACAGAAGGGCAACCTAATGAAAACTCAAACATGTGGGGAAAGTTGACTTTTTTATCACGTAATCTTCACTTGTCTGTTATTCCAGCTTAAATTTTGTATATGATAATTTTTGAATGAATGACTTGTTCATTAATGATAATATTTTCCTTATCATTTGACTATCTGACATGGAGCAGTGCTTTGATAGGGTTGCGTTATTGATACTCGATAATGATTGTTTGAGAGTGAAATAGAAATCTGCGACGCCTTTGGGTTACCGACCCAATGCTCTGTTGACCTACTGAGCTACGTAGCCCAATAGCTCGCTGGGTAACTAAATTTTTATTGTCTTTCAATTACCGAGGTTGTTGCCCGATTGTCATGTGGATTTGTGACGCCTTACTATCATTTGATCATACTGACATTGGTTGCCCCGTCAGAACTTCTCATCCCACTTCAAATCTACTTAGATTAAAGAGGGAGAGCATGATATTGATGGTCAGTTTTGACTATCTGTGATGGAGCCGTGATTTGTTAGACTTGTATTATTGATACTGGCTGATGATTGGTTCAAGATGAGATCAAAATTTGAACCATGGCAAGATTCGAATCACCAATAGCCGGGTTTCTAGTTTGGTGCCCTACTATAACTGGGCTAGGAGACCAGGTTTTTACCTTCATTTCAATTGTAGCTCAGTTAGTAGAGCACTGGGCAAGACGCCCGATGGTCGCTGGTTCGAATCCTGCCGTGACCTAAGTTTTCATTCCACCTTCAGTCATCACCCCGTACTTTTTTAGTTCTTGTCCTCTTTGATGTAGTGTATCTTACATCACTATTATTATTATTGCAACAATTATCACTGCGCTGTTCGTCTTGTACACGCAATTATTTGTTTGTTTTTAATATTGTTCACGTGTGCATAGGTGTGTGTGTGTTTGTGTTGGTTTCGATTTGTACGAACAAATTATTTTGTATACTTCAGTGTGTCTTGTATCGTTTATGTACACGGTGGTTCAGTGAACTGCTAAATATACAGGGGATTTTCTCTCTGTACATTAACGTCAACATTTCCTATGTTGAATAGCATATGTCACATAGTATTTGCACAGTTATGGTATATAAACGTTTACTGGACACTGTTTTATCTGTATGTGCGGTGTGTGAGTACGCACCGTACACTCATGCACCCAAACATACACACGCACAAGTAAGTTTTGTTTCTTTTCATTTCACTATCGCTTTTCTGATCACTGTTTGACTTCACTTGAATAAATAATACACTGAGTGATAGAATTGCACCTTTGGTATAATGTATAATAAAACTGTACACGTGTTCTGGCTCACTGGTTCAGGGAGACGATTTTCAACTATTGAGTCATAGGTTCGAAAACTGCTCCTACTTCTATTGAGATTTGGACAGCCAAGTAGTAGTAGTAGTAGTATTATCATTAGCCCTTGCACAATATTTGTGTGGCTCATCGCCTAGATCACGAATATGCACAAGACTGCTGAGTCCATCTCGATCTTAATTCGATTAATGTTAGTTGAATGAAGGTAAGCGGAAGGAACCCAGCTCTTGTTGATCTAGGTATCATACATTTTGGCACTAGTAAACTGTTATGATTTAAACTGCTATATTTTATGGCCGCTAACGATGCACAAATATATCGACTGTTAGCCACCAACATTCAACAAATTCCTAGTTGATTCGCAACCCGACTAATTAGTGGAGAAGACACGATGAACGTGTGTAGAAAAGTGTATAGGGTCGAAAGACCGAAGCTAGATGGATGATGGTAGGAGAGTTTATTTCTCCGAGAATATAATAATAATAATCAAATCTCAAGACACTTGAATAAGTACACATATGAAAAATGACCTTGTCCGCAATCTGAGTAAATATATTAATCAATCAGCGAATTACATTACAATGGGAGCAGAAAATAAACTAGTAGTCATACCGTAGAAATGGTGTGAGAATGCCAAGTTAAAAATGTTCAGATCAATAACAATGTTTTATATAAAACCAGGGCCTCACAACATAAAGAAGGCGATCTTTATGGAATTGATGTTCCATCTGAGATTCAAACCTGCTTCACCGAGTACTGCAGTCGGAAACGTTATTATTGAACTATTCGGGCGGCGATTAACTTCCTGTTGGACTGGATTATGTACACTGATTAATCACTAGGTGGTAGTGTATACTTTAGAAAACTTTTGGTCTTATTACTGTTATTATTATTATTAGTAGTAGTAGTAGTGGTATTACTACTTTAATGTCTGCAGCATATCTGTCTTATGTTCATATAATACATCTCCTTTGATCTCTTTTTTCACTTCTTTCAACTTTTTCAGTCATCTTATTCTTTATTCTTGATCTTTTATATTTTCTCTCATTTTGCTAATTATTGAAGAAAAACTCTAATCTAGTTCGTTGATTTCCTTGCGTTACATTTTACAGCATACACGTGTAGGTTATGTTTTGAAGTTAATCAACTTCTTGTTTACTTTTTGTTGTGTCTATGCGTTATATAGTTTAATGTTTAACACAAATTAGGTGCATATAGTTGAAACTGCATGAATGCTTATCCATTATCATATATTTTTTTCCTGTATATACTGTCATTGATTGTGAGCTCTAGTCGAACCAGGCATGTTTCTTCATATTCTTCAGTTGTTTGCACATTATTTTCAGTGTCTGTTTTCAAAAAGAAATTATTTTGCATGAGTATGTATGAATAATACCTCTGGTTTTAAATTTTGTGTTTATAATTTTATACTACTTATTTGAGGATATAAGTATATGTAGGTGGTTAGCAGTAATTTTGGTTTCTTTTTTTGCTGTGTGTGTGTGTTTAATTTCTCAGTAGCGATTTATCTGCATATCGGTCGTATAATAAATAGTAGGAATTCAGTGGAGTTGTGGTTCATTGGTTTAGTGGTCGCGTATGCGAACACTGCTTCTGCACCTATCAAAGTTTGGTTACCTAGGTAGGGGCATCACACAATAGTTGCACGCATGCGCATAAGCTTGCTGCTGAATGGACTTTGATCCATTTTTTTTCAAGTAGGAGTTCTCTGACCAACTGTTTATCATGTGTACCTAAGTTAAGCCGCAGTACTTGAGATCTAAACACTATGCAAACTACACTTAGTAGTAATTGGAAACCAAATTCAGGGCATAATCTATTGAATTAGGTGCATTAATGCTTCTTGAGGTAAGCGTTTATTCACCAGTGACATGCATGTAGGATAAAATAATTTATGCTAAGAGAGTGACTACTCAAAGGAGAAAATGATAAAGAATTTTATTTTTGTCTTCAAAGGAGAAATTAACGATTGAGATGTACAGAACATTTGTGTGATTTAGGAGTTGAGAAGTGATGATAGTCTGTGGTTTATACATTATGACGTTACCTCCCTATACTATACTACTAAGCAAATTTCATAAATACCCTATGTATTCTTCATTTTAAAAAAAACTGGTTGATGAAGCTAATGATGGATAACGGTGGTTAGCAATGGAATCCAGGAAGCGCGTCTCTTCTTGGATGCCACTGTTAGCCACCACTGTTCATTATTAGCTTCATCAATATCCAGGCATTCATACATACAGGAGGTCATATTTCAATATTGGTTGGTCAACTCTGTTGACAATCACAGCGATTGAGATATACATCAGTAAAACTTATTGAACGAAGAGATGTGAAAGCCTTTGTTTCTTGTGAAATACTATAATTTATCTGTTAGACGGAAAGGGAGAAAACTTCTAAGGGGGTATGCGTAAGTTGATATCGCGAACCTACTCTTTGCTCAATCCCCTCTATTCACCTTAAGTTTTTATATACACTGTATTGAGTAAAGGGTTTAAAAAGTTTCTCTCTTTTATTCTACACTACTAATTTTTAATATATAAATTGAATTGTACAATAAATCACTCAAAAAGGAGACAGTGACAAAGGGATAATTGGAGACTGTATTTGTCAAAATTATTCTTTCCTTTTTTTTAATGTTGAAATTTGCTCATTATTATATACACATGTTTGTATATATATTGAAACTGAGCTGAGTAGAGCAAACAGAAACAGAGAGAGGGAGACAGAGCTTTTTCAATTATAAGCCGAAATGAAGCTGAATAGGCGACAGTAGATGAAAGAATATTTCCACATAGTCAGTATCCTTCTACTATCCCATTGACAATGGATATACACGCACTTGTTACCTCTTTGGATAGAATGAAGAAGAATACATGGATTCAATGATATTCCAAATAATTAATGATCATATTGTGCAATCACATTTTATTCCCCTTTTTTCACTGTGTGCGTGTGTGTGAATGGATTCCAAGTTGTCTTACAACATGCAACTATGCATTAGTAGTAGTAGTGTATGGATTAATCAATTTATAAGTTCGGTCCACATTTTTTCCCCCTACCACCACCACCACCACCAGGTAGGTAAGTTGCATCTTTGTATGCTACCTACTTATTACCAACCATCAATAGAGTATACCGGCAACATTGAAGAGAATCATACTGATTTTCGCGTTTGTGTAGATGAGTGTTACCTAGCAGAAACACGTTTAGTGGAGAGTTTTCCTCACTTCATCGTCCTCTAACCATTTCGACATTAAACTAGTTTGTTTCATAGGTTAGCGTTTACATTGTATTTTTTAGTTGTGATTAAATGTAACAAGCTCTAAGAAAGATGATTTCATCTAGGCCTTTTATTGACTTTCTGAAGTAACCGAGTGGATAGTAATAATAATGAATAAGTGAATGATACTAAATCGATGAGACACTTCAACTGGATACCAATAGCGATTGTTCTCCCTCAGTAGTACTTCACTGAGTCACGAAAATCAGAAGACAAAGACCGGCCTGTAACTGTGAGGAAGACACTTTACTGAACAAAAAAAATACATCATTTATGTATACAGTTTTCATGAATATGTGAAACCACCAGGTTGAAAGGTAAATAACGTATTTTGATTGGTTAACTGTAGGATAAAATTATCCAATAGGGTTTTTCCTAACCACATAAGGTGATATGAAACTAAAATGGGAATACAAAACTACCACCATATCGACTGATAACTTAAAATATTGATTTCTATTCAGGGCACTTCTTATCTTGTGTTCATTGACTATCTTTCACCTGAAATATACATCTACCTCATATTTACTGAAATAATACAGTTTAAAGTAGTTGGATAGCGTGATATGGTAAATTAAATAATGGAAATACTCATGTATGCTACTTATACTAAAAGGAAGTACTTATATTCACATTTCTTATAGATTGTGATGTATACACTACTAACCTTTCATTCACTATTACTGATAACAATAACACCTTTTTAAATGTTGCTAACTGTCAACCAGTGATCAAATCATTCATTGTGAAAATTAATGGCGAATCTTTGTAGCCCAGGTGAATGATCTTGTCTTCCTTGGACTAGGGTAACTTAGTCGTGAAGCTTTCATTATCTTTCAAGACAGCATCATCAGCACTAAATTCATTATGAAGTGAGCTGTCAAGATTTCTCTGTGAATGACTCTATAGCTTGTCCTGACTGTTTGGCTTGCTTCGATGACTGTGTCATTGTGATTGAGTAGATTTCCTTATTCGTTGTCTGTTTGCCTCACACGTGGCCTTGTAATCGTTTGTCACTTTCCGTATTGGTTGATTGACTAGATGTATGTCTGTACACGTGTTGACTGCTGGTTGACAGAGGAATCAATTCCTCTGGGTACAGAGCTGATGAGCTTGGCACTAATGAGGGAAACGGTTTTCCATTGTTTAAGCCACTCTGATCTTGCTGAATGGTGAGATCTATATATCAAACTGTAACTACTCGCTTGTTCAACAGTAGTATATTTCACTAAAAAACAATGAAAGCGTCGCCATCAAGCCACTCAGTCGTTACCAAATGCAGGTTTGGTCTTCATCAAAAATTCTCACCAAAATAGCTCATACTTCTACACTATTTTTATCCATACATGGTCTCCATTCCTCTTATCATTTCACCTTCCATTTTTGTTATCTTTCTGTCCTCTTGTAGGGAAAAGCATGGTATGCAAGTGATACGGAGACTACATTGCCTCGTTCAGAACGAAAACATTTCATAGTAAAAATTATACTACTTTTTTCAGGAAATAAGTAGTATACTGTATGAATAGTAATGTCCTGTCTAGTTTCGTGTTTCACTAGGATTGGCAAAGTTCACTGAGTATTTTTTTTATCATGGAAAATAGTTTTTCAGTGAAACTCATTTACTGAATGCGACTTATCAAAATACTAATTGATATTGCCGCCATTATCCGAAGAAGTTGGGTTCACTAACAATCCACTTGTTGACAAACGTGTTGTAATTGAAGAAGCTAGGAGTGAGATGAAATACATGCTATGACATTGGACAATAGTTAGACGATATCATAAACTGCAACTGAGGCTATGAATTGCTTACTATGGCAATCTGACCTGAATTTCCATTCATTTTGTGTCACGGGTATGATAATGATACTGAGGAAAGGATGGAATAGCTTTTCAGTACTTTTCAACAAGTTCCTACAAGTTGCCAACTGAATGACTTTCCAATATTGATTAGTGACTTACTTCGAGATGGATTTATCGAAGTTCTGATAAAAAGTCATCCTCTGTAGAGTCAAACAAGTCGGAAGTGACGTGGATCGTGCTTGATAACGCTGGATAATGATCATGCTACATTGGTGAATTGATAAAAGTAGGAAATAGTAAAACACCGAGTTTCAACTTCATCAGTGAATGCTCACCGTGAAACCTGAAGGTTATGACCTCAATCCCCAGCACGGTGGTCATAGAGTTGCCACATTAGGACAAAACAGCTGTTCAACATCTTCAGGAGTGTCCACTGATTCATCTCTGTTGATCAGAGGATTAGTAAGTCGTCATAATAATCTCTAAACAGTATACGAGTCCAATTAGAAGATTTCTATAACGAGGATAACTCCGTGTAAATGTAGGAAATTTTTGTATTGACTTAAACATTTTACCAACAGTTTATGAGATCAGAATGATTTCTTGACAAGAACTGATAGTACTGGTCAATGAGGATGAACATACTTCCATAGATTAATCAAACACGATAACCGGATGTCGATCTTTAATTCACACAATTATTCCACAGGGAGGAATTCAAATGTGTGGCGTACTACTTAAAGTTTTGAAAACCTAAGCATATTCATTGTATGTACACCTTGGTGATGAATCTTTCTCTTATCTTGTTTGTCACTGTCTTCTCTTTTCTCCCTTTTTCATCTGCTGCATCATTCACGTTATTGTCACTTGTATATGTTGTTTGTTTTTCTTCATTTTTATATAGATGAAAGTGGTTGATGCATTCCGTATGGGACTTGGCCCGCGTATCGATTTGGAGCATCGTCGAAGTGCTGGTTCCCTAGCGTTTAGACAGCGTCAAAACTCAAATATTGAATATGTGGATGCTGATGCACCGGAGGATTCTTAAATTTGATTATGCATGTCTATCTATATGTGCGTATGTGTGGTATGTATGTATGTATGCATGCTTGTGTAATCAAATCGGACAGTTATAATGAACATAATTATACCATTGTTTGGATATACGCTTGAGTCGATGTCATCATATCACAACACAACACAACATAGATACATACTGTGCATATACATATGTTACTAACCAGCCTGGCGCTTATCGTACAGACATTTTGTTTACACATGTGCGTATACAATATCACCTGCCTACCTATCCTACCCACCCACCTACACACACACACACACGTGTTGTATCCCCCCTGATGCCCACAACACGGTGGTATTCTTCACCTGATATGCATGTAATTAGCAATAAACTGTTCTATTCTCTTTTTGTCTTTACTGCATTACATCCCGGCTTTGGTAAAACAAATTTCCTCTATTCTATCCTATCCTAGCCTCAACTTCTATTGCGTTGTGTGTGTTTGAAAAAGTTTTAAGTAATCGATGAAGGCGAAGAATTTCAACTTATTCAGTTACTTTTTAGTATTGTTAGCTTAAAAGTATAACTGAACAATGACTATTAATCACATTCAGTTTTAACTAAAGCATATTGCAGTAATCATTGCTTACAATAAGAGTAATTTCATCAACTAGCCTTTTGGTTTTGTTTATTTAGTATATACGATTTGTTTTATCATTCATTATATTAAAGGACTGACTAACTCCTGTCATCGTAATTCAGTAAGTATTCTCTTACTCCCCCCCCCACATTCTTTGCATATTCTCTGCCTTTATAAAAGAGAGGAAAAAACTATTCACCAAATTGATTCATTGCTCACTCATCGAAGTACTAATCGATAAATAAATAAATAAATGTGGAATTGAATCATTGAACAGTGTTTCAGTAACATTATTTAGCTACTACTTAAGTTTGTATTTTTGTATGATTAGTTGTTTTGTTTCAATATGTGGGGTATCTTTTCTCTCATTATGTACATGTGTGTGTGTGTATGTTTTATTATCTATGTATGTACAGTGTGTTGTGTATGTAGACTGACTGTATGGAGGAGAGGTGGGGGGCGAGTTATTATTGTGGATTGGCTAATGATTGAAGTGATAGGAACGCCTTTGGGACTATGTTGAGAATATTTTATGTATGTTCACTTGTGTTGTTTCTCTGCTGTCTGTCTCAAGTGTAACTTGATGATGATTGTGTCCTTTTTTCTTGTTTTGATTAATATTATATACTATTTAAAACCGTAATATAGATTTACTTCAATTTTCTTGTTTTTCTCTTGTAGTTCATCTTTGAAAATTAAATATATTAACGTGTGAATGAACGGGTGTACATTAAATTAGTGAATAGTTTCCTAGTTTATTATACACATAAGTATAATGGTTATCCTCTGCTTTGTCCCCTTTTTTCTTCTTCTTAATCTTCATCATCCTATGAGATGTGTTCCTCAGATCCCGTTATCCCTAACAACTCATATCTTTATCTGTAATGTTCTGTATTTTTGCTAATTTTCAACAAACAAATTTAGGTAACTACTACTACTACTACTACTACTACTCACTCATTCTTTTTTTAAACTGGACTACCTTCTTCATGTAGAAGGGTGTTAAGAAAACAAGCGATTGGTTAAGATAGAAACAAGCACTTTTATTTTATCCTTTATCAAAATAATAATTGGCATGTTTTATACTACTAATTACGATTTTTAAGTAGTCTACTCTCTCACACACTGATATGTATGCCACTATATTCTTCATTCTTTTATTTCCAATCTTAGTAATTTTTTTTCACAGGTGTACGATTGTACACGATTGAATAGTTTTTATCGAATTCTTCTGTTATTCATTAGTGTAAAGTTATATTACTTCTGGTTTTGTCAATAATCTTTTATCAAGTTTTTGTGAATGTGTGTGTGTGTGTCCGTGTGTTTGTGCATGTTTTTGTTCACTCTCTTATTGATCACAAGAACAGCACCAACACGAATGATCAGAAGAAAAGAAGATTGAAACAATAGTCATGATGACTGACTTTAATCTCTCACATACTTTTGCTACACTACTCGCCTCCTTATCGGTGCTCATTTTATCTATCTCTTAATAAGTTATGGTTTTTACATCCTCGTTGGATAGTCTATATAACAAGTAATAAGTACCTGGTTTTCAACATTTTAACCTATTAATATTTCTATTGAAATATTCTCTATCCATGGTGTTGACAAGTTTTCTTTTCCCAGATACTGTTTGCTCTCCTCTCCAACTGACTGTGTGTGTGTGTGTTTGTATTTGTGTGTCTCTGTGATTGAGTGTACCTTTTGTCGTTCAAATTTCAATCAATTGTGACGTATATACCCTTTTGTTTTTTTCAGTTGGCACACACACGCGTTGGGATTACATACAATTTTTGATACTATCCCTTCGTATATATTTGTATATGGTGTATAATGTCCCCTTGTGCGTGTGTGTGTGCACGTGTTTTCACTGACACTTTTCTGGTTGTACTATAATGAAATATAGACGGAAACTGTCTCACTTCTTCTTCATTTTCTTCTCTTCATTCATATGATTGCCAAGAGATTGACTGACGGTTGCATTGACTTATTTTTAAGATACTTACAAATGGTTGTTTTAAATTAACACAATACAAATAAAAAGGTGTAAACGAACCTGTTTCTGATTCATTCTATCGATTAGTCTTCACTCTTTTCTCTTCCAATTCTTCTTTTATCTACTATTGCTTCTCCTTCATTCTTGTTCTTATTGAATAGATAATCACTAATGCATAAATTGATTTACACAGACTTACATACCACACTAACTATTATCAATAACTGCTAACTAATATTATTATTATGATTTCTTATTCAGTAATATAATCTCTTTGGTCTTTTATTCCCCGTCTTGGTTACTAAATCTCCTCCTCCACCCCCTGCCGCCCCCCCTCACCAACTCCTCCTCCTCCTCCTAATAATAATAATAATCGTAACCAACAACGCTATTTTCTTCATTTCGTTGCACTCACTAAGCTCCTATGATTGCTCCTTTATTATTATTATTATTATTATTACTACGATTGATAATAATACCAATACCATTAATATTAATAATAAAAAACAGTAATAATGAAGTTGATTTTTTATGTTGTAGCGTGATATCCATCCAATGATGTTGTTGACTAACTATCTTTATTTTTGGATTTGTTTGACCCGACTACTCATGACTTTTCACTGGGACTTCGGGAATCACCTCTCGTAGGTAGTCGCAAATGAGTTGGACCTGGGTTCCATCTCTGCCGGGGTTATGGCTGTACGCTGCTAAGGAGTTCCTATACTACTGGAACAAAATAGCTTTCCAGCGCTCCCAGTTTCCCAGTTTTTCCCCAACTGATGTCAGTTCATGATGAATAGTAACCTGAAATGAATGAATAAGCAGCAGCAAGAAGACAACTGTAGAAATAAATTGTATTAAGGATAGGGAATGTTGGTAGGTAGGGGGAGTTGATCTACCTAACTTGAGGAATGAGCTTGTAAAATACTAATATGCTCTATCATTTGGTAGCCTGAATGCAATTGTATCAATGTGACCAGGTTTTAGCCATTTTATCTAACTCTTCACCTTACGATTAGGACCCCATACCAGGTGGGTTACAGTTTTTCCGTCTGTCGGGATTTCTGCAGAATACTGCCAGATTTGGTCAAGTGGAGAAGAACAACTTCCTTCACTGGTATATCCTTTTAGTATATATATGTAGAGATAGACTATTGAAGAACAACCTTAGGCTTTACCCTTTGGGGTCACTCAATACCCCGGAAACAGAAAGAAACGACAAAATGATGAGGGTTTTTTGTCAAGTCGAACATGTACGAAAAGTAACGGTTTCTATACATTTGTTGATGGCCTGCACAATGAATAGGTGCATGAGTTTTGCTTAGTATTCACTTGGATCTTATTGATGGGTTCCTGAAACGAGTCGTTCGATACTGTAATGACTCAGGTCAGGAGAAATTTGCCAATTCACCTTGGGTTTGGAAATCGTTTTCTGATTCGTGTGAATTGTCCAGTAACATATAAAGTGATAAACTGAGAGAAGTATAGTTTCTTCTATGGTTGGTTTTCGTGTCTGCTCCAAATTTCTTGGGCGATTTACACTTAGTAAAGTACTCTTACAATTTTACATTTTACCACTCCTATTTCCCACAGATTTTTACGCCGGTAGTTTCTGACCATAATCTTATCACCAGTTCAGAATTTCCTGCTTTGTTGAGGCTTCTCACTCCTTTTTTAAAAAGTTAGTTGTGGGCAGCATAGACGCAAAAACAGTTCTCATCCGGCGACTAAGCATATAATCTGCAAGAGATTTCTGGGTCGATGAAGTGGAATTCGGAGTGCGTCTATAGCTTGCAAGGAATCTGTTAATCACAGTACTTACTGATCTTACTCCCTCCACTTCCAATAAAACACTTTTCAAATGTATCCACAAATCATTCTGCTTGGTCATTCGATTGTGGGTGGGTGATAAGGTGAGGGACGTCAGTGCTGGATTGCATTTGTCTGCAAAAAGCTGGAAATGCTACTGAAGTAAATTGTGTACTATTATCGGTTAACATGGTTTTAGGGACGCGGAAGCATCTAAACAAATACACCATCTCTCTATAATTCTTACCTGAAGGCTTGACTATCTACTGAGCAAGCATTTCAGCTTCATTCTCTTGGACTGTCAACTGTAAGTAATTATCCTTCTACTGGTAATCTCTGATCTGATAATGCTGCATTTAATTTGTGAACATACCACTTTCTGTAGCTTATTCAAGATGGCTATCATGCCTCAATGGCCTAGTGGATAATCATGTAGCCTTTGAGGTGATCGGTCCTTGGTTTGAATCTTATTGCCAACAAAATCATTCACTGTCAGGCAGGTATGTTCAGCTAATGAGTGACTCTGAGATAGGAAAAAACGCGTGTCCTATATTGCACTTCTAGCCACTATCCATCTTTATG